ACGGACACACATTTTTTCAAGTATGGTTATTTTGACTCCTGGGACCTTAAAACGTCTAGAAATGATGAAATTTCAACTTTTTTTTTTTTTTTTTTTTTTCTTGGAGGATGACAATACTTCCTCTCTACCCTAGGGGAGCGAGAAAGTAAAAATGGGCTCAACCTTAGCGACATCGGAGTGCTCTTAGTTCCTTCTTGCAAAATGCAATTCAAATCTTCTTATCCTATTTCAGATCAAATCGGCGACGAATAAAATCGTCTTGCACGCGGCAGAATTGGACGTTACGAACGCGTCCGTGACGTTGAGCAGCGGTGAAACCGTCACTCCTGACGTGAGCTTGAGCCCCGACGATGAGCTCCTGACACTATCTTTCATCAAAGAGCTACCACCCGGACAGGCCTCTTTGACGTGTTCGTTCGTCGGCGAACTCAACGACAAACTCAAGGGATTCTACCGGAGCAAATGTATTGAGTAAGTCTCACGAAGGAAAAAACTTGGAATGGGAAAATAACAGTATGGACTAGTCGGATCAGCGGGCCGATTATTGAAACTGATAGACAAAGCGGTAGACAAAGAAGATATAGGGAGTATAGAGCGATCTTATTGGTTGACATGGTTGGTTCTTATAGACTAAGGAAGAAAATGATGGACTAACTGTCGGGTCTTTGGTGGGTTGCCGTTAGTTAGTCCATTACCTACCTCCTATGTCCATTGCCACCACCTCCTTCCACCAATAGGATCCCTCCATAACATTTTTGTCTTCTTTGTCTATTGCTTTGTCTATCAATTTCAATAATCAGCCCGCAGTCATTGAGAGTTGGTCGAAAAGTCGCCCTGCGGGTTGATTGTTGGAATTGATAGACAAAGCTTCAGACAAACAGGATATAAAGGATATGAAGGGATCCTATTGGTGGAAGCGGGTGGTTGCAATGGACAAAGGAGGTAGCTAATAGACTAACTAAAGGCAACTGACGAGAGACCCTTTGTTATTCCACCATTTTCTTCCTCAGTCTGTAAGATCTGACCAAATTAACCTATACACTGGAAAAAAACACATTGGATCTAGAGTCCAGACTCTTAAAAACAACGACAAGAAAAAATACTCTTGATTCAATCAGAATCTAGCTTAAATCAAGAACCAGGTCTATTAATTTAAGCGGATTTCGTTTTGATTCAAGCAAAAATCCGATTGAATCAAGAGTATTTTTTCTTGTCAATGTTTTCAAGAGTCTGGACTCTGTTTTTTTTTCCAGTGTAGGATCGCTCCATACTCATTATGTCTTCTTTGTCTATCATTTTGTCTATGAATTTCAACAATCAGCCCGCTGGTGAGAAAAGGTTGAGCATTCTAATTTTTCATAAGAAACATTGGCGGATTTAGTTTTTTCAACTTCATTGTACTTACTGAATTAATGTAATTTTAAACTGCCGCATTTTCTATCCTTTGATACAAGGTTATGAATGCAGGCTCGTTTAAGTAAAGCTACCGTCAACTCAATCTTCTGGAAAGATTTACAGTATTTCTCTGGAAGATTTCAGCTGAAGATACTACATCTCGGTAACTATAAAATAGTCATACTTTATGCCTTTAGCAGCACACAACGTTAAATTTACAACAACAAAAAATAATTTAAAAGAAAAAAGCGTAAAAAGTAGGTATTAGAATAAACCATAAAAGAAATACCGCGTAAAGTAGTTTTTATGGAAAATACGCAAGTAAAAAATCAATCTCTTTCTCTCAATTATTATAAACCTCTTCGTTTACGATATACCTATTCACGCACATTTTTGGGCTCTGATTTTTTACGAGTTGTTTAACTTACGGCGCGACGTCGAGTTTCATTAAAATGAAGTGTCTCACATTTTTACGATTTTTCGTACTCTTATTTATTTATTTATCTATCTATCTATTTATTTATTTATTTATTTATTTATCTATTTATTTATTTATTTATTTATTTACAATTCACGGGCAAACCCATTAACAAGAATTTACAATTAGCAAGATGGCTTAAAATTATAACAGTTAGGATTTTAAGAAATTAGTAACCTCTTGATATGAATGCTTGTGAATTTTTTAATAACTAATTCGTTTACCGTTTTCTCTGTTATAATTTTCTTGTTCACTTTTTGTGTTCCAGCCCGGTGTCAAGAAAGGAAACGTATGCGGCGGTCACGCAGTTTTGTGCTATAGATGCCCGAAAATGCTTCCCATGTTGGGACGAGCCAGCTGTCAAGGCCCAATTCACTGTTACATTATGTGTCCAAGATGATAAAGTAGCTCTTTCGAATATGGTATGGTATAATGCCCATTAGTTGCCTATACCAAGCATTCCTTTTTTTATATATTTGTTTTTTTGTGACTGTCCAGCCTAAGAAGATGAGAACTTGAAAGTGACCCTTATGTTTCTAGCTGTGCGTTAAAAGTCTCTTTGGAAGTCCCTCTCACATGTCCACCTCAGGACGCGTAGAAACATTCAGAATACAGCCAATCGGTGGATGCAACTTAATTAGCTTTGGTGTGAGGTTGGGTTGCATCACCAAATTTGAAGGCGAACTAGCGGCAATTTCTTTTCCTAGCAATGCGGCGCGGCGCTCCAACTGTTACGCTGTCTGTTGCACCGTCATCCTCATCTCGCGATGAAGAAGGATTGGTAGTTTAGGGATGACAACTATGTTGCCTGCTTGCTAAGGAAAGACGCCGAAAGTTTTCCTCCGTTGCCTACTTTCCTTCGTAATGCCCCTTGCCCTTTCCTTCGTAAATGATCACATACTGATATTACTCGAATCCAGCGATTCAACTGGGTGTTCTAGTTTGCGCTGCTCAGTGTAATTTTCAGTGTAGGCATTTCCTCATGTAATAAATTATTTACTTATTTACTTATTTACTTACCTACATACATACTTACCAACTCTTTACTTTCCCGTTTAAGCCTGTCATAGAGGAGTCCCACGATGGCGAAGGCAACAAAATCCTGAAATTTGAAACGACGCACGTGATGTCAACCTATCTAGTGGCCATCGTCGTGGGAGATTTTGATTATGTTCAGGACAAGACGAGCAACGGTGTCCTTGTCCGCGTTTACACCCCTGTCGGAAGGAAGAACCAAGGAGAGACAGCTCTCAACTTTGCCTCTAAAATGCTCCAGTATTACGAGGAATATTTCAAAATCTCGTACCCACTACCGAAACTAGACTTGATCGCCATCGCAGATTTTGCCTACGGTAAGACTTCTTACTTTGAATATTGGTTCTGACGCTTTTCACTATACGCGCTACCTAAATACTTTTTCTCCACTTTTAGTTTTTTTGACAAGAGAAGACGCTTGTACTCGGTACGAGTCAAGTTCAAAACTAATCTTAATTGATATAAAAATTGTACAATAATTTAAAAATAATTGTACAAATTGTACTTAATTGTACAAATATATTTAAAGGGTTGTATACGCTTTCCTGTCAAACTTGCTTCAATTAATTCAGCGTAACCAACCTGAAATTTCACGATTCTTGCCGTAGTAAAACTGTTGAATTGGGTTCATTGAAGACTATCATTCCCTTATGCCTCGAAATGAACACCGATTGAATTCCTTACATTAAAAAAATGCCTTTCAACTAAAAAAAAAAGGTTTTTGCCTCGAAAGAAGTTTCTTTGAATAAATATAAAATTTTTCTTTCTTTTCGCCTAAAGAAATGTATTAATTTTCGTATTATTCAAATGAAGTTTTTTTTTTAAATTTTATCATATTATCATCACAATATATAATTCCGTAAGCCCGACCCTATAGTTCGACCCGAGTTCGGGTCGAAATCGGTCGAATCGTACCAAACGTGTTTGGTACGATTCGACCGACCGTGTTTGGTTCGATTGCGGTCGGCGTCAAACTCATATCAGCGCCTGCAAGACTGCAGGAATACTTTATGCATTGCGCCAAACAGTGCGGTCGGGGTCAAACGCATGTTAGCGCCTACAAGACTGCATGAATGCTTCTCGCATTGCACCAAACGCATTGCGAGAGTTATTTGCGATAACTACTTGACCACGGGTATGGGCACATTGCCGCTAACTGGATTGAAGGCGCATCACATTGAGAAGGTGACTCGACACTCGACTGAGCTCCCTTCTCTGGCTTGCGCGACGCTGAAATCGCCGCAAAACTAGGTCCATGCGTCATTTCTTTTGACGGTCCTTGCCCGGTTTTTACCTCAATTAGAGGGTGAATATGTATCTTAATTGCAACGAGTCAGAAACTCGGACGATGTTTAAACGATGCATCTATTCTGAAACTTGAATCGCATAGACTTAATGTTGGTTTAATAATAATAGAAACAAATGTGAGACTTTACTTTAAAATCATTCCTGAAATTTTGAAACTTCTAAAAAAACTGTGTGTAGCTTTTTCTTTAACAAAAAAAACCGTGGAACTCCTCAGAAAAACTGTGTGTGTAGCTTTTTAAAAGCGGTGTTAAAAAACAAGACATAAAAAGTGGTGCATAGCGTTGCAATCAAAGATAAATACGCTATCTTTGGTGGCACCCCAATTTTTAAAGGCAATGCCCCCTTTTTAGGTCCAAAGGGTATCCGGGGCTTCGGGGTGGTAAAATTTGGGTTTCTTAAGAATCGATACCTTATTCATCCCCGCGGTCCGCAACTTGGTCTGACCCCAAATAACCGAGAAAAAAGCCCGGGACGGGTGGTCTTGAACACCTTGTAGGTATATACATTTCTCTCCTGTAGGTATATATTTCTCTCCTTACTACCTGGATTATCCTCTGTTTGTCTGTAACTCCTTTCTAGGTGCGATGGAGAATTGGGGGCTGATAACGTTCCGAGAGACGCGGCTGCTGGTGGACCCAGCGAACACGTCAAGTTGGACGAGGCAGGCGGTGGCGAAATGCGTGGGGCACGAGCTGGCTCACCAGTGGTTCGGGAACCTGGTCACCATGGAGTGGTGGACCCACTTGTGGCTCAACGAGGGCTACGCCTCCTTCACAGAGAACCTCAGCGTGGCCCGACTCCACCCCGAGTTCGACATCTGGACTCAGTTCCTCCACCACCACCACAATAGCGCCCTCCGACTCGATGCTCTTAACAACAGTCATCCCATCGAGGTAAATGCTCCTAATCGTGGATATTCATGGGACCTTGCAAGAAGTTTCACTATGGCGGGATTCTACACTGAAAATTGGACGTATTTCTGCCAAACAGAACCAGAGGCAGGTGGGAAGTAAGTCCTGTCTACAACGCACTTGTCGCACTGAAAAAAAAGAGGTAGGGGTTAAGCCCAAACTGTTGGATGATAGGGACATTTCCAATTAATTGTGGTAATACCCCAATTAATTGTGGTAATGCCCCGATTAATTGTGGATAAATTAAGTCACTAACCCAAATGTTGCGGTGCTACCCCAACTTGAGTTGCGATACTACCAAAATTAATCAGAAATGTCCAACAAGCAAACAACAATCCGACAAATTGGGGTAGTACCGCAATTTTAGGGGATAACCCCTAACACTTTTTTTTCCGTGATCACATGCCCATGGCTCATGAATGCCGCACTCAGTTGGCACATAGTTCCGTTTGACAGAATGTAAAATCTCGCTTTTCCATTTCTCCGAAGGGAATCACGCCCACTTTTACATTGTTTCTTATGAAGATTTCTAGAGCGCACCCCCATCTTTCCTACTCGTCTATAGTTCCGTTTGGCAGGAATACCTCCAATTTATCCTGAAACCTCCTAACAAAATTTAACACTCCCCAATTCCTAACCTTCTAGCGAGCTAAGTTTTTTCTTTTCTCAGACAAAAAAATCATCAAGAACCTTTAATTATGATACATAAAAGTCGCTTCATCCTTACAAAATCCGTCAGCATTCCCTCATTTTTCGTGAAACCACCTGTCATCACCGAGCACCGTATCATCTGTCTTCGTCTCCTCCCAGGAGGAACCGAATTCTTTGACAGTCTCATTTCCTCCGTCATTCTGTAAAAAATACCATACCAGACTAACTGTTTGGTTATGACGTCAAACACGACGACATTTTTTACTTCCATGCTCTGACCCCCACTGTCACTCCTAGAAATTCCTGCCGATCTCCTCCAAAAATCCATCTTCGTTGCTCCCAGCACATCCTGTTTCCGATTTATCAGCTGCCAAACTTCGCATTCATGCATTAAAATACTTTTACCCTCGCGTCGAAAATGCTGTTCGTATGCTTCAAAGTGTCCCCGTTTATTTATATTTATTTTATTTTTCGGAAATCGTTTCCTCCTCAAGGAAAGAAAAAAATTTTCAGCATCATCCGCTTTCTATCCTCAGCTTTTTAATCAGAGGCACAGCCTTCCTTCGCACTCTCCGCGGAGGACCAATAGCAAGAAAAATCCTGAAAATAGAGAAAATTGGGATTTTGTGTGTTAAATCCAGAAAAAGGGAGAATTCATTTCACGGAAGGTTTAAAACCAGCATTTTTTTGACAAAGGATGCATTTCATGGTGAAAACAACTGCAATGTCACTATATCGCAGTTTTTCCCCCAAAAACTTTGTATCGTTTTGTTTCGTAGCATCCCATGTAGCAGGGACTGTAAAAAATCTCTTTGAGAACTTGTAAATAATAACTAAAAAAAACTCCTTATCAAACTGTTAATATTTACGCGAAGGAAACCCTTTTTGGAATTTTTACGTAAAATTAACGAGGGGTCAATTTAAGTACAATAACCGTTTTTTAAAAAAAATCTCTTTAAAATGATACATTGCTTTTTGAACACTTTTTTACGTAAATTTTACTTTAAAAAATGTTTTAAAAATTTACGGTTGTTATGAGTTTTTACCACTTTTCTCCTTAAATTTTGCCTCTCGTAAATTTTACGTTAAAAAAGCCCAGAAAGGGTTTCCCACTCCGTAAATGTTAACAGTTCTTTAAGAGTTTTTTTTTTTTTTTTTTTTTTTTTTTTTTTTTTTTTTTTTTTTTTTAAAGAAAACAGAAGAAAAAAAATGACGGCTGCTAGTGGGCATGTCGCGTTATCAACACCGATCCTTAATCAATGGTACATTTAAAAACGTCGAGTCTTTAAAATCCTTCACTGAAAAAAAAAGGCACGGGCTATATAGACATACCGTCCGTTCGGGCCTCAGAGGCCGGAAGTTCCGGGTGCTAGGCCCGGAACGCGGGCGTTATATCTACAATATAGCCCGTAAGTACGAATTCCGTAGTTTTTTAAGTTTTTGTTTTCAGTGTTCATGGAGAATGATAGCGTTGAAATTTTCAGGTTCCCATCGGACATCCGTCTGAGATCGACGAAATCTTCGACAGGATCTCGTACAGTAAAGGCGCCTCGGTGATCCGGATGCTACATCGATACATCGGTGACGACGACTTCCGCAAAGGCATGAACTTGTATCTGGTGAGGCACGCCTACAAGAACGCCTCAACGGAAGATCTTTGGGCCGCCCTCGAGGAGAGCAGTGGGAAACCCCTCAAGGAGATGATGACCACGTGGACCAAACAAATGGGCTTCCCCCTCCTCACCATCGAGTCGAGCAGACAACTCGACGACTCCAGGGAACTAGTCATCTCACAGGCAAAATTCGGTGGCGATGGCAAGGCCACCGGTGAATTTACACTCTTTTGAAACGCCTCTCAAAATGCTTATCTCCCATGTTTCGAGCAAGAAATACTGAATTTAATAGGTCAGCTGCGCTGGCCAAGAATCGTGTTTTGATGCTCGATTCTTGAAGATCAGCTGAAAATAATAAGATCCATCTAAACAGCAACTTCCAACGTTCAACGTTAACTGAGATATCGTGCTTTGGAAAATTCGGTCTATGACTTCATCCACCGCGGAAGTGACGCCCTTTTGGTTTCTTCCACCCTGCTTTTATCAGTCAGGGAAACAAGCATGTACACTGGTCACTCAACGTGAAACTCGGATAAAAGTAAGGTGGAAGAAACCAAGTGTGTCATCCCCGCGGTGGATGACGTCGTCTTGAGCCTAATTCTTCAAAGTTCAAATCGCAGTATCTCTGTTAATATTGAACGCAGAAAGTTGCTGTTTGGACTGATCTCATTATTTTCAGCTAATCTGCAAGAATCAAAGCCTCTAAACACGATTCTGCGAGCAGCGCAACTGATCTATCTCAACCTTATATCCTCAGCTGTTGACATGAAAATGAACTAAACCGATCGCAACTTAATTTTGAGATTCGTCTGACTCTAGGCCAATAGGTCCCGGGTTCGAATCCCGGTAGTGGCGTCTAAATTTCCACGAAACTGACGAGTAGGTCTGCAAGAACAGGTTCTACTCGGCCTTAATCCCGGAAAATTTGAAAAGCCTGGAGCATGGATGTCCCTATCGCCCTGTTGTCTAAGGATATTAAATCTCTGTCTATAGTTGGCAGTAGACCTCTGAGAAGAGGTATAAGCCATTAAACCTGAAAAAAAAAATTGAGGTTACCATTGAGGATTTTTCCTGGGAAATATCAAAATCTGTTTTCTCATCGTTATTCGACAAAAATCAATATCTTGGAAGTATTTACGGCGTGGAGTGCTTTGGATCCCCTTCCCCGTGACCGATCAAAAATTGGACGGATTTCTGCCAAACGGAACTATGGGCATTACCTACGACGTGAGCCCTGTTATGCATATATCCTTATGGGTCTCAGGGCTCATGTCTCAATGCACATAGTTCCGTTTGACAGAAATATGTCAAATTATACTTCCATAATAGAAAATAATGACGGCTGAGGCGCGAAGCGCTTCGGGGGGAGGGGGGGACCGCGAAGCGGTCGGGGGGCATACCCCCTAGTAACTAAATAATTCCATTGAAAATATATCAAAAATAAGCTTTTATAAACCCCAAATGATCCAAGCTATACTGAAAGCTGTACTCAAAAGAAACGAAATAAGCGATTATACGATAGTGCTTCTTCGCGTTCCAGAATGCAACTCTCTATGGTTGGTTCCGTTGTCTTTCTGCAAATCGTCTTCACCGCAAGAGGCGTGTTTCGCCACTGTTCTGAAGGAGCGGCGGGCGACCATCATTGTGCCTAATGTGAAACCGGATGAGTGGCTCAAGCTCAACTGCGGGACTTACGGTTTCTATAGAACCCAGTATCCTGGCGATTTGCTCCTGCAGTTCATTCCTGATATCAAGAGGAAAACTTTGGCGCCTCTTGACAGGACTGGTCTGTTGGATGACTTATTCGCCCTGGTAAGAATAAAGGACATTCAGAATACACTCATTGTGGGAAAACAATTTCGGTTGTATGAACCGTTAGTACGGGGTCCCATACTGCCATGCCAAGGAAGAACGCCGTATGAGCCTTCAGACGTTGCCAAGTTCCCTGCAATTAAAACCGACTTTACTGGGGAAATTTTTAATATTTTTCCCCAAAATTTTCAGACAATTTTGTACGCAATTTAATCTAAAATATGGGAAAATTTCAAAGAAAAATGTGCATGAATGTCGTCAAAAATACATGTTTTATCAAGGGAAATGTGGCAACTCTTGAATGATCGTACGATTTTTCCTTAGCATGGCAGTATGTTGGACGCTAAGGAACAAATTTGCGTCAAAAAGCGATTATTCAGGCTGACTGAAATATTATTTGTGACGCCGTAACTTTTTTATCATTATACAATATTTTTGGTTTTGTTAAAACCGAAAACTCTTTCATCGCGGTGTGCGAAGTATCGAAACTAAAACTGTAATTATTTTAATATGAAACGCTAAACACCATAGCTACCTAAGTCGTTGCCTTGATAATCCAATGTTTTTCAATTTAGGTGTAGCTAATTAAATAAATGTTATTTAATAATAAAAAAATAATAATAAAAACCATATTTCTCTACGCAGGTCCAATGCGGGAATGCCTCAACTACTACCTTGATGGAATTGATGTTAGGCATGGAGGACGAAGATAACTACGTTGTGTGGGCGACAATCAACTATTGCTTGAGTGAACTCGCGATTATTCTGTCCGACACCGCGTTAGAGGAACCGTTTCACAAATTCGGACGACGGCTCATGGAAACAATCTACAAGAAGGTCGGTTGGGACCCACAACCAAACGAAAGTAAGTTGCGGCTACCTCCCAGTTAGAGAAAATACTGAGGCGATAAAATATAATCGGAATTTGGGGGTTTCTTGAATACAAAACATCAATAATTTTTGTTTATTTTTTTATTATTGAGATTACTCTTCTCTCTCGTAGATCAGGCGGATTTCTAAATTTATTCGCCATCACATTATTTTTATTTTAATATACTCGTAATTCAAAATATTCACAGAACATTTGCTTTTTCGACAAGGACAATTTCTACTCACTTTAACTTCAACTCACCCACAATAACCATGTCCATTCATGGGGCCACCCATGAATGAAGTCAGGCCAGTGGCGTGTCGTGCTTTGCGATATATCGATTGTTATGCCATTTAAACCCATGGAAAAGGATCGATAATCAGGGTGTTCACAGCGAACACCTTAATAATCGATTCTTTACCATAGGTTTAAATGGAGAAATATTGATAATCGATCATTCAAGCCTCGCCACTGCAGTCAGGTATTTAGGGAGGTGGAGAGGGGAGTCTAAGACTGCCCGCGAAACTTATTCTTAAAATAAGGGTGGGAATGGGAGAGAGAATCTGATAAGGGGCGAGGGAGGAGTCAAAAATTCGGAAAAACTTAATGACGTCCTCAATGCATGTCCTCCTGAGTCTCGCTTTTTTTAATGAGTACCAATGGCGAAGCGTGACAATCGACTATGGATATTATACCATTTGAAGCTATGGTAAACAATCGATTATTATGGTGTTGCCTGCGAACACCCTGATCATCGATCTTATTTCATAAGTTTGAATGGCATATCAATCGATACATGGCAAAGCATGGTACGCCTCTGATGAGTAGACATCTTATCAACGCAAACATTCACATTATCTATGATCGGATTGACGTATTCTTTTCGTAGGTCACTTAAAAACACTTCTACGATCAATGGTCATTGATCGTCTCGGTCAGTTTGGACATGATGGAGTCATCGCTGAAGCGAAGAAAAGATTCGAGAATCATATTTGCAAGAAAGAGGCACTTACTGCTGATCTCAGAGCTGCGGTATACAAAGCTGTCCTTTCAACCAACGAGAAGGATATTTTTGAAACCATGCTTCAAGTGAGTTTCTAAGTTTTATCAGAGGGCCACTCCGATGTCCATTCTAGAATCATGTACCCTCCCGAATAACCGCAGAGCAATCCAATTAAAACACAACTAGGAGGGCCCGCCCCCTGGCCGCTACGCGGCTCAACCCCCGGCCTCTAAATAAAATCAAAAATATGCCCAGGATTATTGAGGGTGTCAATAATAATTATACTTTGCCATGAGAAAAAAAACAATTTTCTATAGATTACTTCTAGACTCACTGAAAATATCTCTAGAATGAAATTAGTCAGTGAAAATACAAAAAAAAAAAAAAAAAAACAAACAAACCCTGACGAAACCACACAAGTGAACATGTCACATGAACATAGAACCGGTAATGGTCAGAAAAAAAACCGGAAAAACCAGGAAGAAAAATTGAGGGTGGAGAGATTCGTCTTGAGAAAGGGTAATGGATCGATCAGGTTACCAAACCAAGTTGTATTTGATGACGCTTTACGAGTGCTGCATGTTTGTTCAATTTTAAATCACGTATCCATGTGTACACCAAGTATAAAGTTGAGTTATTTTTGCCGGCAGTTGTACAAACAAGAGGATCTCCACGAAGAAAAACAACGGATCAGCAATTCTCTGGGCGTTGTCAAAGACGCACAGCTTTTAATGAGAGTTCTAGAATTCGCTATTTCGGTGAGTACTCGATTTATTCTGAGCTCCCATTTTATTTTTGCTCGAGTCCCTTCTAACTCCCCATCAATGAGACATCCAGATACGCTGATCGAGCTATCCAAATGGCCACAACTACGGCTGGCGCCAACCGAAGACTGGCGTGCTTTGCGATATATCGATTGATCTGTCATTTAAATCTACAAAAAGGATAGATAAACAGGGTGTTCGCTACGGACACCCTAATAATCGATTCTTTACCATTGCTTCAAATGAAGAAGTATCGATGGTAGATCATTCACACCTCACCACTAGCGACCTTTACCATTAATCACCTAAGTAGCAGTGATCGCGATAAATAGCGATTTTATTGGTTGATTATCGCGATTATGTCGGTGGCAATTTATCGCAATATTATCGAATAAAAAATTGCGATTTGTGGCGATTAAATCGCTATGCATCGCAACTCTTCGTTCAATTAAATCGCGATCAATTTTCGTCGATAAAATTGAGAATAAATACCCATATATCGCGATTTTTGTTGCGATAACATCGCGATAAATTGCCGGGCAATAAAATCGCGATTTTATTGCAACAAGATCGAGGATAATCACTCAGATGTTGATGATCTTAGCAATTTTATCGCCGACAAAATCGCAACAAATCGCGATTTCTCCGTTGAAAAATGCTACTTGGGCACTCGTCTTCCCTGCTACAGAGGAAAGCCGTATCAGCATAATTCGAAGTTTGCCATACTTTCCCTGAAAAATATTTACTTCCGAGAAAAGCTGAGTCTGCATTTTTCTGAGATTAAATTGTAAATAGAATTATGTAAAAATGTACAACAGCTACAAAAAAATTCAGTTTAGAAATTTCTGAATGTCCAGACGACATTTCTCTAGACACGACGGAATCAGCGTGCGCCCAAAATTAGTACCAACCACGTCTCCGTTTTGAAGTGAGCGAGCATTTCTAAAATTCTATTAGCCTTGTTCTTTTTTTCTTATCTATCAGAGGCAGCATATGAATTAGTCCAATTTTCCGTCTCCCGTTAAAACAGATGGCTTATGTTTAAAATCGCTGTGGGGAAGACTCATGTCTGGACAGTATTCCTTCTCTCCAGAAACTCTTTCCTTATCATAATGCATGTAAATGACAATTCTAATGACTGAAGTCGCGAAACATATATTTCAGATTGCGACAACTTTATGCTTATGAATTTCTCTTTAAAAAGAAAAAAAGAAAGAAAGGCAGGAAGGAAGGAAGTACTAGTAGTTGTAGTAAGATAAGTTTATTTTAAAGCGGTGCTTTAGCATCTAAGGCCATTTACACCTCTGTGTGTTTACATGTAGTAGTAGTAGTAAAATAATTTTATTTTAAAGCGGTGCTTTAGCATCTAAGGCCATTTACACTTCTAAAGAAGGCAGTAATAGTAATAAATTTACATGGAAAAATGTATGTATGTATGTATGTTTTTTGTATTTTTACATCAGTAAAAATACAAAAGGGTTGAGGGGAAAGGTTAAATTTTGAGATTAGTGGAGCGCATAAATTCAAAAAGTTTTACAGGATGAGTATTCAGAAGTAAATTTTTAAGAGAGGGTAAGGGGTAGGGAAAAAAACGTTTTCGGATATCTTTATAAAGTGGGCAACTTATAAGAACGTGATCTACCGTTAAGGGGGAATTTGGACAAGAAGTGCAAGCAGGACGGTTTGATTGGGTCATCAAATAGCTGTGGGAAAAATTTGTGTGACCAATTCTCAGTCTAGTTTGGACTACTTGTTGAAGTCGAGTCAAATGAAAGTTTTCGGATGAAGGTGAAGTAGGCAATGCAGGGGGGCATTTAGCATTGGTGAAATGCTGCCACTCAGTAACCCAATGGTGGAGAATTTTTCCTTTTATATCTAGAAACAGATCTTTAGAGGTAACCGATCCCTTCGAGAAGGGGCCAATTGAAAGGCTAGACTCCCTGGCTGCAGAATCTACATGTAGTAGTAGTAGTAAAATAATTTTATTTTAAAGCGGTGCTTTAGCATCTAAGGCCATTTACACCTCTAAAGAAGGCAGTAAATCAAAAAGAAAGAAAGAAAGAAAAAAAGAAAGAAAAGAAATGCCAACAATTTGTATTGTAATTTTTGATGATTTTTTTCCGCTCATTCTTAGAAAATCCTATTTACAAATTTGCAAGGAAACATTTTGACTAGTTTTTATTCCTCAGGAGAAAATAAAACATAATTCAAGATTTTTAAACGTTGTAATTAATCGAGATGCGCGTTTTTTGCATTAGGCCAGCGATATTTTATGAAGTCAATTAAAAAAGTTGAGACTGAAATGTTTCAATAATTACAGTAAAAAAAACGATTTGGAGTAAAAAATACTAATTTTCGGATTTTTATATAAAAAAAAAAGCATTCTTGCATTCTCGAGAACGTTAGGTGAAGTTACTTCTGAATACTCATCCTGTAAAACTTTTTGAATTTATGCGCTCCACTAATCTCAAAATTTAACCTTTCCCCTCAACCCTTTTGTATTTTTACTGATATTTCCATGTAAATTTATTACTGTTACTGCCTTCTTTAGAGGTGTAAATGGCCTTAGATGCTAAAGCACCGCTTTAAAATAAAATTATTTTACTACTACTACCGTAATCTTCATCATTGCCAATAAAGCCAATCATATGGATGGAATCATTTCAAAGGCTGAGAAAGGTACCTACTCGAAAACTATAACCTCGTCTTTCTGGCTTTTCCCTGTTTTTGTCCTCAAACTTGGAATCAGTCTCAAAAGATTAATATTTTAGATTTTTGGATGCTCTTTGCACTGTACGATGCAAATTAATCGGTCTAATCTGTGGAGCATTTATCATTTTTTTTCTCCTTTTTTTTCCATCTTGAGGAACCTCTTGACAATCTCTATCAGGTATCATGTAATGATCAGTGGCGAGGCGTCATAATCGACCATCGATATTATCCCATTTGAAGCTATGGTAAAGAGTTGATTTTTATGGTATTCGTTGCGAACGCCCTGAATATTGATCTTTTGTCATAGGTTTGAATGGCATATCAATCGATACATCGCAAAGCACGCCACGCCACCGGTAATTGGACTGAGTTAAGCAGAAAGGAACCAACCCACATTTTGGAAAAAATTGAGTTATGAGTGGTTTTGAACTCAACCACTGCTCTACTATCTATCGCCAAAAATTCAAAGTTTTTGTTGGAGCAAATTTTGCAGAAACAGAACTTGAAGTTTATCTTTTACATTGAGTCTTACGCAGGAGCCAAACTTTAAACCTCTTTTTCTCGGTTCGATCCCGATGTGGCTTGGTTCCTTTCTGTTTAACTCCGTCCAATTATGTAGTTTCTCTTTCGGGAGAGCTCATCTTTTTTTTCGCCACTCACCTTCGAGGAAACGATTGATAAGCGATCTCAAAGGAATGATAATTTTTAATCCTTAGAGCAACCGAGTCACATTGCAGATTCAAGATGAATTAAATTTTGAACGGTATTTTTTAATATTATTTTTTTTTTTCCCCGAACAATTTAGGATGACGTGAGAGCTCAAAGCGCTGTCTCAATGATTGTTTCGGTCGGATTAACGGCTCAAGGCCGTGAGCTGGCTTGGAATTTCATCAAAAATAACTGGCAAACCTTCAAAAATATGTACAAGGTATAACAGATTTTTCCTATGTTTCCGTACGTTTTGTAAATCACACATTACTTTTTTCTAAAACTCTGCTGAAAGAGTTAGTATGCTATTAGAACCACCGAAAAGTAAAGACCTTTCGAATTTTCAAGCGGAAAATGCCTGCCAAACAAAACATGCAGGTCATAATTGAAGGTAAACATAACAGGCTATATCGTTTGTCTTCTTTTTTTACAACTCATTGTAGAGTAATTGCATTCTCCCTTTCGCCAAAAAAAAATATTGCTGCCGGCATTAGGGTAACTAAGAAGCCCCCTTTCTCGAGAACCTATCTCATCACCTTCCGGCAAAAGTATCACGGGCGCCCTGCAAAGTTTCAAAATTTCCGGTGTCATTTTATTTTTTACAGGGAAATTGTTGGTTGAATCTGTTTGAAAATTTCACTGAATTTATCGGCAGCACAAAGAAAATCCAGTGAAATTTTCGGACAGCCTCGTTAAACAATTTCTCTGTAGGTAAAAAAAATAAAATGGTGGCGAAAATTTTGAAACGTCGCATGACGCTTGTTATACTTTGGCCGGAAGGTGACGATCTAGCTACACACTCCTTTTTCTGGATTCTCAAATAAAGTTTTTTGCACTTATACGTGCACTTTGTTTGACATGCAGTGCATCGTTCAAGAGATCGCCTCGGATTTTGTGATGCAGATCACTGTACGTGATCGATTGCATGTTCTTTGGCATATCGACGGTGAAAGTCGGCAATCACATAACTCGGTTTGCGACGTCGCAGACTTCCCGTCATACTTTATTTTTTAAACGGAAAACTACTCAACGATAATTCTTTAAAACTGCCGTGATTTTTCTTCTATGTGCGAGGAAAATTCTGCAAAAACTTCAAGGAATCATATCCATTTGTTCTCCTTTAAAAAAATAACATAGTTGCGGAGATTTTCAGACACCGCAAACGAGTTATGTGATTGCCGACTTGCACCGTCGATATATCCTTAATTGAAGGCACTTCTTAGACCAATTCATTGTTGAGCTTCTCGCCGAAAGCCTGCAAGCTTGTTCTAGCGCGGTTCGTTTCATTTTTCAGGACGGTATACTTTTGATATCTCTGGTTGGACAATCAACAGAAAATTTCACAAGTGAGGAAAAAGCAAAGGATGTAGAGAATTTTTTCAAGCAGAATCCCTGGCCTGGCGTTGAGAGAACAGTACGGCAAAGCATCGAATCCATTCGAAACCATGCCGCCTGGCTGGAGCGTGATCGTGATTCTATTAAAGATTTCCTATCTAAAATTTGAGAATAACGTGAGATAATCATTTTGAAATCTTGTCGTTTGGAGAAAAAAAAAAACTATTTTTATTACTATCCGTCCAATGAACTGATAAATTCTACTTTTATAGGTACACTCTACATTAACTCTACCGCTTTTTCTATTTACTCTTTAACATTGTTGTGTTCAAACAAATTGATGACTGTAACGTACTTATAATAATCATAAATACATTTTTTGTGTTATTTTTTCACCCACCTAGAGTCAATCACTTGAATTCTATCTTCCAAAAGATTATATATATTAGTGTGTTTGTATATAATATATTTGTATTTTAAAGTTTTTGTTACATTGTTATCACAAGCTATTCCGTATACGTCAAAAAGAGAATTTCTCAGGTTTTGTGTCAGTGTCCTTATTATTCAACTATTCTCTGTGATTTTACTACTGCCGAAATTTTACTGGTTTTTCAATCTCTCTACAAAACGCAACATTTTTCCCAAACCATGGCTCTCAACCCCAAATTTTGGCCCCCAACTGACAATGAGTCGAGTCGAGCGAAAACCGCTTTATAGTTTCCAAGTTTTAAGTTTGTTGGGGATTAATATATTGTCCTCAGGGTTACCCAAATAGCAGTGATCACGATAAATAGCGATTTAATCGGTTGGTTATCGCGATTATATCGGTGGCAATATATCGATATATTATCGCATTAAAAATCGCGATATATGGCGATTAAATCGCTACAAATCGCAATTTTTGGTTCGATAAAATCGTGATCAATTTTTGTCAATAAAATCAAGATTAAATAGCCATTTATTGCGATTTTTATTTCGAAATTATCGCGATACATTGTCGGGCGATAAAAGCGCGATTTTATCGCGATAAGGTCGAGGCTGATCGCTCAGATGTTGATAATCCTGGCGCTTTTATCGCCGATAAAATCGCAATATATAGCGATTTTTTCGTTGAGAAATGCTGCTTGGGTTAGATAGAAGATAAAGAACCATGAATGATGAAAGTGGTGTAAATATTCTTTTTGAGAAGGTACCCCTTTTACAGGATCGGAAGTTACCCTATGACACAAACGGTGAGGTCGTAATATGGTCGCGAAGTGCGTTTTTCATAGACGGTATACATTTGACAAGTAAGAATATTTCGCGAGGTCAGTGTTCGAAAGCAATATTTCAATTTTTCACTCCACATTTTCTGCTTACGTACACGTACATAATTAACAAACTGCGGGGCGATTATTGAATCGTTATGGAATAAACTTGATGATAACTCCCCATCTTAACAATGCTATATATCGATCTAGGTCATTCGATGTAGCGTGAATGGAGGCTATTTCCATTTAAGTCTTCCGTCACATTCTTACGGCGCAATGATACAACTATTCGAACTCTCCGGAATGCGTGAGGTATCACGCGGCATTTGAAGGCGTTTTCATATCAGCCAAGTTCCGATATCTGAATAATCGTTTTGCATAGTTCATAGTATTTTGTTTTCATTTCTAACCACTTATTTATTTATAATCCTCCTATAAAAATTACCCATTTGCTATATACAATTCTAGCTGTAGCGCACTTCAGGTATGCATTCACCACTGCAAAAATTTCAGAAGAAATCGCCAAGCCCAGCGTGCATGGAGGCTATCTCCTTTTAAATCTTCCGTCAAATTCTTACGGCGCAATGATACAACTATTTGAACTCTCCGGAATGTGTGTGGTATCACGCCGCATTTGAAGGCGTTTTCAAAACAGCCAAGTTCCGTTATCGGAATAATCGTTTTGCATAGTTCATTTCAATTTGTTACCATTTCTAACCACATGTTTATTTATAATCCTCCTGTAAAAACCACCCATTTCCGAAATACAATTCTAGCTGAAGGTCACTTAAGCGCATTCATGACTGCAAAAATATTAACGGAAATCGAAAAGGCCAGCGTGCATGAAGGCTATATCAATTGCAATCTTCCGTCACATTCTTACGGCGCAATGATACAACTATTTGAACCCTCCGGAATGCGTGATGTATCACGCCGCAATTTGAAGGCGTTTTCAAAACAGCCAAGTTCCGATACCCGGATTATCGTTTCGCATAGTTCATATTCTTTCGTTTTATTCCGTACCACTCGTTTATATTTAATCCTCGTAGAAAACCCACCCATTTGCTGAATACAATTCTAGCTGGAGCTCACTTCAGCTTTGCATTCACCACTGCAAACATTTCAGAGGAAATCGAAAAGCTCGTATGTAAAAATCGTATGTAATTTTAAAAGTCGAAAATTTAAAAAAAAATGTATACGACTTATGAGTCTCTCCGCCAGGGAACTCACCCCGCCAGAAATCGTTCTACCTGCCCGTAGAGTACCTATATTGAGAGAGTATGGCCACTGGTGTTACCACCTCTGATTGGCTCAGCCATCTTACGCTGAATGGAGCCCTTAGGACCCAAAAATGGCGGACGCCGTAAATCAATGTAATGCAGAATGACTCAAAATGTAGTTTTCTTTGCTTATCGTAACGAGAAATTTACTCAAATGCACTATTGCGACTTCTTTACATATTTTTAAGGCTAATCGTGTGCAATTTTTGAGAAAAATTATCTTAGATATAGTAAGGTTGGCAGCAAGTGCGGTTGGTGATAACCGTCAAAAGTTGGCAATGACCCCCCTCCCATCCACAAAAACCAAAACAAAGCACCGCCATTTTTGGGTCCTAAGCCTCTACATGGGGCCCAGTGTCCATACTATCTCAATATAGGTACTCTACCTGCCCGCCGCACAGTGGATCGAGTCAATGAGACAGGCCGGACATGAAATTTTTGACTAAAATTGAAATTTTGATGCTTATTTCGTCCGATTTCAAAACCTAAGGAGTGGGTCCAGAAGAAAATTTCACGAGGAAGCCAATAGAACCACTTTTAGAACCTCAAAGTTTCGTATTAACGGAGTTAGAAGCGTTTAAAGTTTCCAAATTTTGTCCGACCTCCCCGATCGACCCGACCCACCGTGCGCCGGGAGCGCCGCGGCGTGCTGCCAGCGGGAAACTCGCGCCGTCGCCTACAAACCTAACGGGCTATTTCACGCATTGCGCAATGCTTGAAGTATCCCCTTAGGTTTGTAGGCGTCAGTGTACGTTTCGAGCTGGCAGCACGCCGCGCCGGAGCGTGCCATACACTTGCCCACAATTAAGAGGTCAGGGTTTTAAAATGTAAGCAATCGACATCAAATAGACCGTATTCGATAACGGTTCGATGTATCGTTTGGTTCAAAACAATAGAACATAACCTCAAACCTAACTGTATGGATTTAAGTCGGAAAAGCTGAAAATGAGAAATTTCCTGACAATTTCACTTTGAATTGGCATTTGGTACTCAAAAGAATAGAAAATCTGTTTCAAAAGACCCGTTCTCTCAAATTTCTGAATTTACTTTTGAGGCTATGTTTATGTTTTGAACCAATCGATATCGATACAATCTCACCCGTTTGATGTATCGAATACGATCTATTCGAAATCAGCAACTCCTAAAACATCAGAAAGGAAACTCTCGTGATCTTTCAGTCATTCAACTTATTTCTTCCTATTCTTGAGTTTTGGACCATATTGTCCCGCGCGGCGGCTCATGAAATTCTCCTTTGTGCTCAATCGGCTTTCCTCAATTTTCCGTTAAATTTGAAATTCCCGCCGTTTTCAGTGGCGGGAATTTGAAATTTTGCCCCCGGTCCTGAGCTCCCCGATTTACTCTTATATAAAAAAACCTGGGTACTTTTTCCAAAATCTGATCACAGCGGTCTCATTTAGAGGCATCACCTGTCGATGACCGCATATATCATGGCGATAGGCCCAGTAGAACGCTTAAACGAACTGTGACAAAAATAAAAATTTACTTCGTTTAAATGTGAGAATTCGCAACTTTACCACGTAATATAAAAAATCCTGGGCCATATTTTCAAAATTTGAATATAGCGGGCTCATCCGGAGACAGTTTACTATCGATAACCGCAAAAATCATGAAATTCGGCCCAGCAGAACGCTGGAACTAAAAGTTACAAAACGGCCCTTTCTAAACACACATATTAACAGTAGGTATAATATCTTAAAATTTTTTGTAAATTTGCTTAGATTGTGAATATTACATTTTGAAATTTCAAAGAGGATTTTTTTACTGTCTGATAAAAGAAATACAAAGCGGAAGGAAATTAGGTATGCAACATGTGTTGTAGTCAGGCAAATGCTGGCAAATGCCATCGAAGCGTGCTATTTCTATGGCACATACAAGCGTAAGAGGCAATTGTGTAATCAGAAGTGGATCAAGACACATCGAACGCCAGGGGGGTTCGGAGGGTCCTCGCCAGAAAATGTTAAAAAAAATTTAAAGCATTTATTAATCTAATAAGCAATTGAGTCAATTTCGTCATGAATATTATCAAATATAAGCGTTCTTCCTTCTTCTTTCGTCCGTCCCTACCTTCTCTCTTCCTTCTCTCTCCCCTCCCTTATCCTTCCCTCTCTCTTCCCTTTCTCTCCCCATCCTTTTTCTTCCTCCTTTTTTTCGGGCTAACGGAGGGGCTTCCGCCCTCACGCTCCTCCCCCCTCTCTTGGATCATCCTCTGAGTGTTATCGTTTCGATATGAATAAAACTAGCAAATCACGCGATTAGTGTACTCAGGTGACTATCGCCTAATCGGGTCCGGGTCCGCATTCTGCCGTACTAAGGAAGAACGCCGTATGAACATTCAAGAGTTGCCAAATTTCCTTCGATACAATTTTCATTTTTGAGGAGAGTTATGAATATTTGTCCTTAAAATTTTCAGGAACTTTAGGTGAAATTGCGAGCAACATTATCTGAAAAATTGGGAGGAAATTATTTATAGGTTTATCGGGAAATTCGTGTTTTAGAAGTGGAAATTTGGCAACGCCTAAAGGTTCATACGGCGCTTTTCCTTACCTAACGCCAACAATCGAACATTTTGCTTGCCTCGCAAGATTATTGACCCGCAAATTCATCAACGGGTCATGTTTCGTTGGGTCAAGGTGTATTGTTGATCCATGCGAATATCAAAGGCTGCTCGCACAATAGTACTTGTATCTCTCGTCACGTTGCTGCTGCGACGGAATTGGCGAAACAGGGAAACCGGTTTGAGCCTCAACCATTTACTGGTACCGTTACTCCGCTCTACTACGCCGCCGAATACGTGTCAGTATTACAGCCAACGGCGGTATTTCGCTCGTGCTCAGGCTTCGGAGAGAGTGGTATGTGGTAGTGGTATGCACTCTATTATGCACCTCCCTTGAGAGCGTGTTTCGTGCATAGAGATATTATGTTAGGACGCGCGGCAAGCAGGTTGCGATACCTAAACGAGCAGGTGTTACTTCTCGCTACACCCGGGATGGTTGCACTGCACTCTAGCGGGCAGTTTTTAAGATGTATAACCAGCCTCTGAGCGCTTGCGAGTGCAGCAGTAGCAAGACGCCACATAATCTATGGTGATTAAAGGGACATTATTTTACGTGGTTTTTTTTTTTCTCCTTCTTTTTCGAATTGTGTTTTTTCCTCAGCTGCCAGTAAAATTCATATTATTTCCTCATTTTTTATGTAAGGTTTTTTTCCCGTTTAGTAATCATGCCTAAAATTGCTGGCATCTATTTGAAAAATTACGTTTACTTTTTCAGCAGCTCAGGTGATTTGAAGAATTTCGGAATGATGGCGTCCAAATGAAATTCTACCTCCCATAATGGAGACGGACTCAGAGGACAAGGCGCATAAGTGCAGTTTTTGCTATTTCGAGAAATACGTGTTTGCAGTTTCGAAATTACATGGATCCATGTGGCGGAAAGAATGTTCAAATCGACTTTTCGATGCTTAAAAATCGGGATTTGGGAGCGAATTTCATACAAAACATGAGTCAAGTAAGACTGCTTTTACTCGAAATCATGAATATCTCAATTTTTCCAAAAACTGCACTTATGCGCCTTGTCCTCCAAGCCCCTCAATTGTCATATTCCGTGCGAGCCAATTACACAGAGTAAAAATTCGATCATTTTCTGGCGAACCGAGAATTGCAACCATGGATCCCGGCGCGGAGCCGCTATAGGTCCGCGTTAAGCTTAATAATGTATTGTTACTATTATTGTGTCCACACCGAGCCTGTACCTGGCGCATGGCCCATGGCGGCCGGACCCTTGTCATCGTGGTCTACTGGTAGACGAAAAATTGCCAACCAAATTTTTCATAATTTGTGAATTTTTCCTTTATCGACGGATTCGGTTTCAGCTTGCAGTCCTGATGAAAAATATATATAATTGTAGGTAAGTATGCTGGTAAGTTATTTTATCACAAAATTCGCGAATTCCTTCAGCACGTTTTGTGATAAAATAACTTATCATCATACTTACCTACAATTACATATCGACGGTGTAAGTCGGCAAACACATAACTCGTTTGCGGTGTCTGAAAATCTCCGCCTCTATGTTATTTTTTTAAAGGAGAACAAATTAACACCATTCCTTGGTGTTTTTGCAGAATTTTCTTTGCTCAGAGAAGAATAATCACGGCAGTTTTAAAGAATTGCCGTTGAGTAGTTTTCTGTTTAAAAAATAAAGTATCCCTGGTAAAAATTGGCGATAGGAGCTGCGTTTCAAAATACCATAGGAGTTCTTATAGCCGACTAAAGAAAGGCTATTGAAAATCATATAGCTAGCTGTAGAAAGCGGAGCGAATCATATAGCCGGGCTATACGAAGCTATCAAAAAGTATACAGTCGGGCTATAGTTCCTATCGCCGGGCTTTACCGCCCTTTATCGCCATTGGCTATAAAAGGCTAAAAGAAATTGTGTAGAAATTCGTGTGCTTTGGAAATCATTAAGTTTGATACGGAACTACCTTAATATTTACAAAACACACATAATGTTTTTCTTTAAAACATATTTTTTTTTTCATCAATTAAAATGAGAATAGTTCATACAGAGTGTGCAAACATTTTAAAATCATGAGTTGAAAAACGCTGACTCCGCGAGATTAAATATTAGAGCCTAACACAAAGCGGAGCGGCGACGCACTGGCGCCTACAAACCTAACAGGGATACTTCACGCATTGCGCAATGCGTGAAGTATCCCTGTTATGTTTGTAGGCGCCAATAATGCGCGTTTCGAGCTCTCTGCCCGCCCGCCGCGCCGCAGCGTGCCACGGCGTCTGAAGCAACTATTTCACAGTGTCATAAGAAATTGAAGGCGCTCCAACATATTAGAATGACAGTCATCCTTCAAAAGTACGGAGCTTTCCTCGCAAAATAAATCAAGACACTACGGCACGTAAAGAGAGCGGTAGTCCAAAAACTAATTAAATCCTAGTATCCGTATTTAGTAACGTTTAGCATAACTTTATTGTCTGGCTGTTGCTGAATTGCCATCAACTATAAAAGGCTATAAGAAATTGTACAGCCGGCTGTACAGAAGCTATTGGAAATCTTACAGCCGGCTTTAGGTCTATGGTATTTTGGAACACACATTCTACTGCCAATCTTTACCAGGGATGACAGGAGGTCTGCGACGTCGCAAACCGAGTTACGTGATTGCCGACTTACACCGACGATATAATTTTTCATCAGGATTGCAAGCTGAATCTGAATTCGTCGAAATGAAGGAAAAATCCACAAATGATAAAAAATTTGGTTGTCAATTTTTCGTCCACCGGTAGACCGCGATGACAAGGGTCCGGCCACCAGGTAAAGGCTCGGTGTCGACACAATGGTATAACAATACACTGCAGGTAAAAATACCATGGTTGCTTGCAATTCTGGCTTCGCCCGACAGTGAAAATTGAAGGCACCTTCGCGTTTTTCTCATCTCTTCAGAGATGCATCGGAGTTGTCGTTGGTTGTAGTACCCTGATAACAGAGTGTGTTATAAAGAAACGAGGTGTCGCATCTTACGTAATCCTTTCACTACGAATGAAAAAGGAAAAGTTCCGCTCTTTAAATAGTAACGAATTTCAGGCTTTCATGGATTTCCTGATTTTCAACTTTGGGAGTAATTTCTGCACACAATTTGATGGATATTATCGCTGAGAATCATATTGTTTTTCATCATCATTAGATAAATCAGTTTATTTACTTCTTCTTTATTCAGAAATATCCGTAGTAGGACAAACGCAGCTGTGTAAAGACTATCCTGTGACCGTCATAGGCTCCGAAATAGCCAGGATCATATTCTCCTAGGTCCGATTGTATTATCAGCCGTTTGTCACAAAAAAATCGCCTTCAAAATAAAAGAATGCAAACCATTAAACATTCCTGGTGTTTGACCGTCAATTCACTCCCTCAAATTTGAATATTATCCGCTGTTGATTGAATACACTTTTGTAAGTGATTATCCGAAATATACTGAAAAAAATAGTATTATTTTCAAGGGGAAAACAAACAAGGAACGAACGTAATTAGAATTGGGAACCGTCAGTAAATTCATATAAGATTACAGAGCGTTATGTCTATGAAAAAATCCAATAGAGTGCAGTAGTGTCGTCGCCTGAGCGCCAATTTTGCAGCATCATCATTGTATTCCCTGCTCGTTTGTGGTACTTACTGCCGACCCAAGCCTACTCTGTGACACCTGCAAAACTCAAACCGTGGACAACCGTAATCAAAGTTTGTTATCGCGTCTCTAATTTGCCTTTTCCGCCGCGAAGAAGTTGCTTTTCGAACTATAATCCGGAGATTTTAAACTCCTGCCGTTTTCGTTCTCTTAGTGCCGTCACCATTACGTCGTTCGGACTGAAAGCACTCCAACACTTTCACCCTCGTTTCAGGTTATCTCTAATCTTGCCGGCTCATTTGCACGTAAGTGCGCTTCGCGCTGTTAATATCACTGTTTTTAAAATGGCAGAAAAGAAACCTTTCGAAAGATTACCAAAAACTGTGAAGCCCTCTCATTATGAACTGTTCCTTCATCCCGATTTAAAGACATTAACGTTCGATGGGAAGGAAACTGTCAAAATTGAGGTAAGTGATTTCACCAATCTTATCATCGTTTAATGAATTATTTCCAGCCTCATGTCACAATTATTTTCAGCTTAACATGCAGCCTAGCATCTGCTCTCTTCTGCACCAAGCTATTTATCGAAAAATCGGGTTTTGTGCCCAGCAGTTGATCCGAGTAAACCTAACCTCAATGCAGGTAAATGATAACAAAGTGTAAGTACTTCAGTGTATTGAAGATCACTTTCACACAGCGTGAAATGTGGGTTTTTGCGTTTGGCCCAGATATTCCAGACCAAATTTTCATCAAAAACCAAAGTCTGTCATCGGTGTCAAACTCGCTCCTAATGTAAACAAACGAACGGCGACATAGTCCGGACATAAACAAAGCGGACCCAGAGCGGACTTCCTCGAGATGTTCCAGACTCAATTTCTCAGCGTTAGCGTTTCTTCACCTCGACAAAAGAACTTTCGTCCGCGTCCAACATTTAAGTATCCCTTTCGTAAAATCAAATATCAGTTACCCCGTTGATCTGTTCATGGTGATTTCAAGTGAAATTGCGGCGAGATACTCCAGACTCCCAATGTAAACAAAGCGGCCTGTGCCTGGTCGAGATGTTCCGGACTCATTTCTTCATTTACGTTTCTTCATCTCGACCAAAGAAGTTCTCGCGCATTCAAAGTAACATTTTCCGGTTCCATTGTTAGAGAAGAAACAAGTCATTTTGTTGTAAGTTAGGATAATATTTGTGTTGATTAAGTGGCTTGAGCATTGGACTACCTGGTTGCGCCTTGCATAGCTGCCTCTATATCAAGATGATTGGGAGAAAAGCTTTCTGGTTGATGTGCAAATCTGAATCCTAAATCTCTAGGAACGGTAGTTGTGAAAACCAGACGGATGTACAATGCTAGGTACCTTGCTCCTCACTCACTTTCTCATGGATGTTCGCTGGTCTCTCCAAGGTTCTGGTTTTGCGATGCGTTGAAGCCAATGCTTTAAGTTTAGCTATAACAACCAGGCTTCGGAGATACTAATTAACAATCCTAGCAGTCACCAAATTCTCCAGCAAACCCGCATAGTTGTCTATTAACAGCTGAAGAAGCAATGGAAACCGTATTTACCTATGACAACAAGATTTTTTCCGCTGGAACTCTGATAGTAAGTATGAGGGGGAACTATCACCTTTAAGGCACGTTTCTCCATGAATTTTCTTGTTTTTTGGCATCAAACTAAGTAGAACTCAAGGAAAATGAGGCAAGACTTTACAAGTTACCATGTAAGGTTCATCTGCTGAAAAAATAGAATAAAGTCTAAAATTCCTAATGAACATCACCAAGATGGTTCTGCCACCAGCAGTTCATTTTTTAAGGCACGGATCAAATACTGTGGTTATCTATTATTCTCACGGTGCCCATCAAATTATAGGTAAGAAACCTAGTCCTGTATTAATAATGGCATGGAATGACGGGCTCTAATTGGTGACTTGACCATCCCCAATAAGTTATCGAAAGAATTTACTTCTTAAAAGATCCTTTGCGAATAAAGCCAAGTAAATATGCGGATAAAAGTCCCGTGTGATATGTGAAGTGTACTTATTCTAAGTAATTTCAAAGGGAAGGGATGAAATGTTCAAAAGGTTACGTCCAAATTTGCTAAGTTGTAGAGGCGCTAGGCACAAATTGGACAAGGTGCCGCTAAGTAATGATTAAATGAATTTTTTATTGTTATTAATTACAGAAAAAAGGAAAAGAGAATCAGGCCGATTGCCAAAATCCAAAATTCGAAAAGTGTAGGGTGGTGTAGGAGAGGAGCGGAACCTTCTTCGAGATTACGGGCGGCGAGCGGCAACCTGATTGGCTACGAAGATTGCCGAGCATGGCCGAAGGCCTACTCGCCGCTTGGTAGGTGTTGACGGCGGTTTGACAAACAGCAGTTTTTGGTGAAATGTGGTCCGGAATATCTGGGCCAATCTGTTCACTCGTGAAATGTGCCAGCACTTACCTAACCACTGAAATTAGTTAAAATTTTGTTGTTGCCTTGAAAGATGTAAACTTAATATTCATTTGATCCTTTCTCATAGCCTTCTGAGGATCTGAAAATGAAGACAATACCGCTACTTCGGTTCAATTTTGCTATGTCAGTGTTCACATTGCTTTGTAAGCTAAGAACTGTCATCTCTAACATCTATCATTAACTTCTGAAAAAGAATGATGAAGCAGTTCAATCATGAAAGGAGAGGGCATGTTCAAACATATACTCCTGGATCAGGAATCGCTTTTACTGATGAAGCTGTTTGCTTAAGTACTTGCTATTCAAAAACACTAGATTCGTTCATGAATGGCAATATCCCCTGAAATCCTGGTCTTCCATTCGCATTCCTGATGAATTCATCTCATTTATTTGTGCTTTGATTTTTCTGAATCTGGGCTTAATTTTTTATTGGAGTTTGCTCCCTGCAAGAAAAAGAATCAAAGAAAAATTTTGAAAACCTTTGTGTGAGCCAACAAAAGCATCATTGAAACCGACTGTCCGCAAGTGAGTAATAGCTCAAGCCAAAGGATTTGGAATAGCCAAAGATGTATAGTGAATCAATTATAGTATCAATTATGAACAGTGTAAATTTTGTCTTACATTTTATCAATAAGCTGAAAAAAACTGGTCACCTTTAATCTATCAATTACTTAAGTAAATCAGATCACCTATGTACATTTTTGACGGACATGAGAAAAAGGTCATAATTTCCCCTCCTTCATTCCTCATCTTCGTCTTACGATCTGCTGTTCCATCTGTGTCACCCACTCGCGAGTTATTTATTACTCATTTTTTGTAGGTACCTATGCTTATTATGATGGTCCACAAGATCTTTATCCTAAAGTTATTCTTGCCTTTTACCGGAAGAAAAGTTTTAATTAATTTTGACTTGTCTTTTATTTTCAGATTCTCTCAGCAGTCGACAAAATTGTGCTTCATGCTGCAGATTTGAGTATCAAAGATGCGGTTCTGACACTAGCCAATGGAGAAACTGTTACGTCAGAAGTCTCTTTAACACCTGAGGATGAGCTTGCCACTTTTTCCTTCCCGAAGATGCTGCCTCCGGGCCCTGCTTCCTTGTCATGTTCATTTGTTGGAGAACTTAATGATAAAATGAAGGGCTTTTACCGCAGTAAATATATCAGGTAGGTGATTTAAATATTCAAGAACTGCAACGTTGTCAAAAATTTTGTTTGGTTCAAAAATGCAGCAATCTCACATTTTCTTACAGCCCCAACCTCCAACCCTGGAGGACCAGGGTTTGATTTCAGAATGGCCTTTCCTAGACAGATTGCTTTCACCACAGCTAAGGGCCCTGTCTACCTACCCCCTTTGAGGCAGGGGCTACCAGCTGGGGGTCTGCAGGGTTGTCAAATTTGTGACGGTACAGTCCCTGTTACGTATATGAGTCAAACACGGATCTCATATCATGTTCGGATAGAGAATTAGTGAAGACCGTTCGGCACCAGCTGATCTTTTTTTAATGCAGTGACCAACGAACTGCGAGCGGTAGGTTGAAAACAAAAAGCACGAAGTTTCAAATAAAGTTTGTCACTATATTGATCCGAAATATGACAGAAATGTTGCACAAAATATAATTGAGCGGATTTGAAAAAGAATTGACAAGTTCGTCGAATCTCCACACAATAGTGCACTTTAAGTGTCGAAAAAGAAATACACTTGCCGAGATGAAACTAGAATAGTCACTTGAAGTTGAGAACTGAGAGTGAGAGGATTAAGAGGATTACATTTTGCAATAAGGAACCACTATCTCTGGCTCTTCCATAAAAGCACGTATCTGCATTGGGAAATCAATGGCATATATGTTGTTTCTAAAATTAGCCAGAAATAGTGGTTCCTTATTGCAAAATGTAATCCAAGACTTACTAAGAGCACAGGTCCAGGATCTGGTAGACTGTAGTTAAGTTTACTGATACTGATTATTATCAGAAGTAACAAAAGATAATTCTGATAATAATGAGTATTGATAAACTTAACTACATTTCCTTCATCCACCAATGAAGTGTTAATCAAGTACATATTATGTATCATGTAATTTTCTGTTTATAGAAATCCCAATGATGGCCCACAGCCGAAAAGCTGTAACAGATATAAATTAACCTTTAATGTAAGCCTGTTCTAATCATTTAGCACTGATTATTGACCAGTCATTTTTCTTGTATCTTTTTTTTATTTTATCCAGTGCTTAGAGAATTGCGAAACAAACTTTCTACTGTTTTTTTTTTTTTTTTTTTTTTTTTTTTTTTTTTTTTTTAGTTCTGCCACAAAAGAGGAAACTTATGCTGCAGTTACTCAATTTGAAGCAACGGATGCCAGAAGGTGTTTCCCGTGCTGGGATGAGCCAGCTGTCAAAGCAATCTTCAGTATAACCCTATGTGTACAACCAAACAGAGTTGCTCTCTCTAACATGGTGAGCATTGAACAGGGTTTCACAGCTCACAACGCCGATAAAGTTTTTTTTATTTTTTAGCTTACGAAAGACTTGGCTTGACCCCCCTGCCCCTCCCCTCCTTTGTAAGGCTCCATAAGACAAGCTTGAATTCCCCTCCCCTCCCCCAAGTGCCTTACGCAATACTTGAACGGCCCCTTATCTCATTTCAACTAATCAATCTAATAAAAATGTAAGTTATCTATTAGTCGATCTAATTTTAATGCGTTTTTTCTTCCGAGCAAGAAGTCAATATCGACAGATCAAAGCACAAGCTGTATTTAAACTTTCTGATTACGCAACCTTGTCTCCTGACTATGAATCCATTAAATTTTCAATGTTTCTTGGTTTCTGCAAATTTTTGAAGAAAAAAACATGCTCTCTTTCTTCCATCAATAGAAGGAGCAATCAAGGGTGTCTAACAACTGGAAAATTCGGGAAATATCAGCGATTTTTTTTTTTTACGTGTCAGGGAATCAGTAAGAATTAGGCATGTCAGGCAATTTTATTTTGTAAGAGATTTTCGTTTCAGGGAATTAAGAAAACACGGACTTTTCAGAAAATGTTTTACAAATTTTACTCTAGTGCTAGAATTTCTACCAGAATTTCTGCTGGTGTCTTTAAAATTTTACAAATGAGGCAAAAGTACCTTGCATAAGTTTAGCATATATTTTGCTCTATTTATTACATTACGAAAACAAAGTTGAGCTGTTAGCCGACTTTACAAACATATTACGCACTAATTGCAACTCAGGCCATACTTTTATAAAAAAAAACAATGTGCAAGAGAAAGTTAATATATTTACAAGTTTACCTAAACATGGTGGACACGCAAACGTTTCGACCGACACTTCGGTCTTCATCAGTGAAAGGAAAGCATAGACAAGAATAAAAAACACTGGCAAGATGCATAATAACAAAGGAAAAGGGAAAAGCACAACAAACTTGCTACGTGGTGTATGAAAAAAACAAAAAGGTCTACAGAACAAAGAGCAAGACAAGAGGAGAAGTGAAACTAAATCAGAGTTAGATCATAACCTCATAACAAATCAGATTGTCACGACAAAGCTGAACAAAACAAACCAGACATTTCGAAACAGTCGAACAGACAGTCGAAAAATTAGGAATATGTTTTCTTTTTGTCAGGGAATTAGTTCTTCTGTCTTTCAGGGAAATTTAAACTTTTTCCTGATTTTTTGGCCTTTTATTAGGGAAATGTCAGGGATTTTTTTTTTTTTTTTTTTTTTAAATTGCTGACACCCTGAAACCCTTATTGGTCAAGAAAGATTGGTTAGCATGGATTAAATTGTTTTCAAATTTATTTGACAAGTGTGGTCATGATGTCTTGAGTTCAACTGATCCTTGCAATAATTGTTACAGCCAGTGGTCGAAGAGTCGACTGATGCAAATGGTAATAAAGTCCTGAAATTTGCTCCAACCCCTGTGATGTCTACTTATTTAGTTGCTGTGGTTGTCGGTGAATTCGATTACATCGAAGATAAGTCTGATGATGGAGTGCTAGTCAGAGTTTACACTCCAGTTGGGAAGAGTGACCAAGGGAAATTAGCCCTTCATATTGCCACGAAGGTGTTACCGTTCTATAAGGAATATTTCAAAATTGCATATCCGCTTCCCAAATTGGATTTGATTGCAGTCGCCGACTTCTCAGCAGGTAGGTTTTCATCTCATTTTCCCCCCATCTGCATAGGAATATGTTTCCTAATTTCAGCTTTTCATTCTTTCTTAGCATTTTAAATTTGAAGCTCATGAGTTTCAGCTGAAATTTCCAAAGTATTTAGGAATTTTGGGGGCCTCTGGCAATCAAGGAGTTCTCTCCTCCAATTCATCTGCCTTAACTGAACGCTCTTCTCCCTCAGACTTGCACTGATACGCATTGTAGCTGTAGTTTTTACTCTAGTTGACAGATAGAGAATTTTTTGGTCATACTTTCCCCTAAGAATATTTAGGACCTATCACTACTTTGATACCTCGTTACTTAACATAGAAGCGACTACTAACAAAACACGTAAATGGATAAAAAAACAGGGTTCCTGGCTTGCAATAAGTGCCTCCAATATAGAATTAAATTCTGAATCACGGTCAGCGTTTTGAAAGTTTCTATGTGCAGTTATAATCCGTTTCAGATATACCTTATGCTAGATACATCAGTTCATTTTCAATCGTAGTATATGGTAAGAGAGGCTATATTACTTTTCCTTTCTATTTAATATAGCTGTTTTGATCAGGGCTGATTGCACTTATACAGATCCCAACAGTCACAAGATATTTTTCTTCTTAACCGAACTTATAAGCTGGAAATTCTCTGTAGAGAAATATTTGTTTTTCGTGAGCCATTTCATGAATTTTCTATTCTGCTTTGATCCTTCAGGTGCCATGGAGAACTGGGGTCTAATAACATTCCGGGAATCCTGCGTGCTAGTAGATGAAGTTAATTCATCCACATCCACAAGACAGTGGGTCGCCATAGTTGTAGGCCATGAAATTGCCCACCAGTGGTTTGGTAACCTCGTAACGATGGAGTGGTGGACTGATCTTTGGCTCAACGAAGGGTATGCATCCTTCACCGAAAACTTCTGCGTGGATCATTTGTTTCCTGAAATGGACATTTGGACGCAGTTTGTGACCAGTGAGCACATTAAGGCACTCGAGTTAGATGCTATGAAAAACAGTCATCCTATTGAGGTGAGTGAGTGTACTGAAAATGGTGAAAAAATAATTTTATAGTTAATTGAATACGAGTTACAGAGTTCAGTTAATTAAAGCAGAATATCTGTAAAGTAAAGTATAGTTAAAGCGAAACTTACACATAATTTCCAAAAAAGTTTTTGCTGCACTTCTTGTAACTGTCTTAAGCACCGTTATTTTGAAAAATGGGTCACCTCAATCATGTCTTTTTTTGAAAATCAAAGTATTTTAAGCTTTTCTTACATAATGTGGTAAACTTACATCCTTTTTGGAGCAGAAGAGTTTATTTTCTGCCCCTTGTGCACATTTTTATGGAAAGGAAGACTGACATATGTTATTTCATAAAATATGATTCACCTACATATGTCATTTCAGAAACTAAAATGTCAGTTAAGACAATTTTGTAAATTATCAGCAGTCCTAAGCATTGATTGTTTTATGAAAAGTTTACTGGCAAGTCTAAACTTGGAAAAAAAGGGGGGAAAATAATTTCTTGCACCTGCTTTATCTAAATCGATCAATTAATTCGATTCATTAGTGTTCAATATACTAATTTTCAATAAGCCATTCTAATGCCCATCTCACAAATGCAATGAATATTGGGTGGTACCTTACCCTGCACCTCTTCAGTTTGATACACCTAGTACTCCCATAAGGGACGGAAAGGCAGCTTTCAAATGCATATTTTGGTTGGTCCAAGACCGTTTTTGCTACATTTACTTACAATTGCAACTTCTTTACACTCTGAAGTTAATATCTCTGCCTGGTGAAATCATATGGCATTGGATTCATAAATTATACTCACAATCAATATAACGACGGTGAAACTTCCAAACCATGTATCTTAATTTGCAACGTTGTAGACTTCCTGTCAAACTTAATTTTATAAATGAGAACCTCCTCAACATCAATTCTTTGAGACTTCTGTAGTTTTTCTTCTCTATGTGGAACAAATTCTTTGAAAATTCCAAGGAATAATTTTTATTTGTTCTCCTTTCAAATAATAAAATGGAGTGGGAATGTCCAAACACCGCAAATGAAATGCATGGGTTGGGAGTGTCTCCGTTGATACAGAAATTATTACAAGCATTTTATAATGTATTTTATAGACAGATTTGATTATATCTATCCCCACTGTACTGACACAATCTGAATATCTTACTTTCTAATCCTTTACTTTTATGCTTAGCTCCTTCCATCTGTTCTCATTTTTCTTTTCTCTTATCTCCGTTCCCAACAGGTTCCTATCGGTCATCCATCTGAGATTGACGAAATCTTTGACAACATTTCCTACTATAAAGGTGCCTCTGTCATCCGTATGTTACACAGATACATTGGTGATGATGATTTTAGAAAAGGAATGAATTTGTACCTAACAAGACATTCTTACAGCAACACATTTACAGAAGACCTTTGGTTAGCACTGGAAGAAGCGAGCTCAAAACCTGTGAAAGATTTAATGTCAACGTGGACCAAGCAAATGGGATTTCCTCTGATTAACATTGAATCTTGTAAGCAGGTCAATAATTCTAGGGAAATTGTGCTTTCTCAGTCAAAATTCTGCGCGGACGGATCAATAGATGGTGATTATTTTTTTTTTATTTTGAAATTTCTCAGTCAACTTAGAATGTTGTCGCAATTTACCCACCAAGAGTAACTAAAAGAATGTCACTGGCCCAAACTCCTTCTGTAAACAGTTTTGTCCAAACCAAAGAATTCCTTTCTTTTGCTTAAAGGTCAAAACCACATCCTTGCTAAAATTATATTACCTTTGTTTGCTTGTTTTAGTCGCCACCCTTGGTAGTGTAGTGGTTAAGGTAGTTTGCTGCCAGCACTAGGGCATTAAACAGAGGACCAGGTTCTTTGTTTAATGCCCAGCGGTGACAGGACACCTAAAAATCCGTCATTGTGGTCGTCCGGAGCCATTACCTTGTCAATCCTGCTGCGGCCACAGGGTGGGGGAGGGACATGGACATCTGGTGGTAGTTGGTATATTTGCTCTGATTGGCTGAGTTGTGATTAAAGCAAGGATCACTCATAGTGTGCGCAATGTCATTCTGCCAGTGTCATCTATCCGTGAGAAATTGAAATGCACAATTTGTTAAGTTCTGAATTTGTGTGTCTGTCACTCTTATCACCACTTCTTTTAAATTTTATTTGCAGATCAAAATAGTCTTTGGTTGGTACCCTTATCTTTTTCAAAATCATCAGCCCCTACAGAAGAATGCTTCAAAGCTGTTTTGAAAGGTCCGAAGGCAACTTTCACCATCCCGAACATAGAAGCTAACGAGTGGATCAAGTTAAATCCAGGAACATATGGTTTCTACCGGACAAAGTATCCCCGAGAGTTACTTCAACAATTTGTTCCAAGCATCGAGAGTAAAACCTTACCTCCTCTTGATCGAATCGGCCTTCTGGACGATTTGTTTGCCTTGGTAAGTAGTCCATGTTTAATATTGTCGGGGGAAGTGGTTTTGCGTTTGGGCACCCTATCCTCACTTTTTCTGAAAGTCTTTTGCTACAGGTGCGAAAATTGCAGGATAATTAAAGTAAAAATATTTCACCAGCTAATCATTACGAACAATTTCCTGTACAGTATTAGTGGTAACAATTTGTGCTACCTTTGTCAATGGGGAAAAAATAGAAGAAGAAATTACTGATAAGCCCAGAAGACTGTGCAAGAATTCGCAGAATAGATAAGAAGTCCCTACTTAATTTTTCATTTTTCTTGCTGCTTTAAAATGGGGTAACTTAGCAATTCAAATTTTTTCTTTCTTCTGATTATTTCTTCTTTTTTTCAGATTTGCCTGAATTTTTTATTTCTTACAATATAATATACTCTATGCATTCTGTTTCTCCAGTCTCTCTTCTTACCATTTCTTAGATTCAGCATTATTCTTATCATTGAAAGTCTTTGCTTTTGACTCATCCCTGATCATCAACAAATTCTCCTACACATGAGTTCAGTTTTAATTTTCTCTTTTCATCCATGATTTACTTTTTTTTGTGATTATTTGCAGGTGACAAGTGGGAAAGCTTCCACTGTCACTCTTATGGAGCTGATACTTGCCATGATAAATGAAGACAATTACGTTGTCTGGTCTACGATCAGCAATTGTCTAGGAAAGATTTCCGTTCTCATTTCAAGCACTGAGTTCGAGCTCCAATATCATAAATTTGGGCGCACTTTACTTTCAAAGATTTACGAGAAGACTGGTTGGACAAAGAAAGCTAATGAAAGTAAGTTTTATGTTTAATCCTTCATTGGAACTTTTGATCTTTCTAAAGAGATCACTTCTTCAAGTTGACTAATTTTGCAATGTCTGTAATCTTAAAAATTCTGTCTCTTAAGAGTTTGTGCGGTATTCAACAATGGACCCCTAGACAGGGTAAGATTTGAAGAGGGACAGAGCATGCTTTCTTATCATTATTCCATACAGAAAATTTTAAAGGTACTAAAAATACCGAAAATCAACTTATAAAAGGCAGAGATAAGCATTTATTGTTTAGATTAAAGTCAGGGACTTCAAGTTTCTCTGACAAAAACTCTGTTTTTAATAACTAACTTATCAAGCAGTAGATATTTAGACGTCCGTTTTCCTCCCTCTAAACATCACACATCTCCTCATTTCATGAAAAAACCCCTGTCGCCACCCTTTCACTGAGCATCCCCTTCTTCTCCTAGAAGGAACCCAATCAAGCATCCTCTTTGGCAGCCTCTCTTCCGTCATCCTGTTAACATGACTTTACCAGACAAGCAAGTTTTTGGCTTTTCAAAATCTAGGGTTTCAATACTTCATGTTATCACTCATTAAAGGATTGATTTTCAGGTCATCTAGATACCCTTTTGCGGCCGTTAGTAATCGGAACTCTTGGTCTGTATGGTGACGAAAGAGTCATCGCCGAAGCTAAAAAGAAATTTGAAGAACACATCAGTGGTAAAGCCACAATACCTGCAGATTTAAGAAGTGCCGTCTACAAGGCTGTTCTGTCAACTGGTGATGAAACAACGTTCGAAACTTTGCTGAAGGTGAGAATTATTTTCAAGAGAATAAAGTTAAAGTGGTAACACCTTTTATCATGGAACTGATTCAGTTTTTATCTACTGTTTGATGCATTCATTTGAAAAAGTCTGATTACATCGGGAGACCTAATAAAGAATCTATCTGTGTAACACCACTGCCAATTAGTTTTCGCCAAAATGTGCCCATTGGGCAGATTTATTTGCCAAAAACAGCAAGATTTTTATGCATTAAATCCAGCACGGTTCGTTTGAACCGAAGTTAAATAAAAAAAAACCGGACACTCGTGATTTCTTTGCAGAATCTTAAAGTATGATTTAAGAACTCCACTTTAAGCCATAAACAAACAAAGTCAGTTGAGCTCTTGGAAAATATAGTCAATTTGCAGATTTTTGCCCCCTTAATTGGCTGAAAGTGACCCATTTGAGATAAGATATTCCATTATTGTAAAAGAAAATTTGGTTTATAAAGTTGCAGGGCCCTTAAAGGGCAGGAAGAAGTTTTTTCACACCCTCATTTTCTACCCTGCCCTCCCCCTCCCTCAAAAAATACCGGGTATTCCAGACCACCCGTACACTCTCTTTTCCTTGGAAACAGCTGGAAATTGAGCTTCAGACGAAAACTGTCAGAGAGGAAACCAACCTCAAAGAATACTCCCATCAATTATGTATCAATAATTAGTATTCCTCGAGTTCGTAAATTGGAAGCACACTTCGGATTAATTACGTACATATTCTTTATTTTTCAGTTGTATCGGAAAGAAGAGTTACATGAAGAAAAAGAAAGGATAAGCAACTCTTTGGGTGCAACTAGAAAACCTGAGCTGCTGTCTCGAGCTTTAGAATTTGCAATCTCTGTGAGTATAATTTTTTTATCTTATCAAAGTCAAGTTCCAAAAAAGTGAGAAAATAAACTTGAAACAGTCAATATAAATCCCTCTTATCAATATTTGAGGCATTTTTTGGTAAAAGGGAGTATGATATTTCCAATGCTGCTTAGATTGTGCAACGTAGTTCTCTAGTTGTGTGTAATCCATCTGACAGTTCTGCTATGAATTTTTTCCTGAATCTGCTCTGAGTCTTTCATTACTAATCTAAGGAAGTGAATCGACTGTGAATGAATTTTATCTGCCACCAGCACCATGATGATTGCACAATCTTTGCAGCATTGCAAGCCCCATCCACCCTCTTACCAAAAAAGTCCTTGATCGAAGCATCAATTTCAGGTGTCTGCTAATTTTAATGTGATTCTTATGTGGTATTGTGCTCCAATCTATTTAATCGTTCTTTCATCCATGTTTGCCTGATAATTGCTCATTTTTACCAATTACACAAATGAGCAATTATCAGGCAGACATAGATGAACAATCTATCTAACCTTCCCTTTAATTTCAGGATGAAGTAAGAGCACAGAATGCTGCGTTTATAGTTATTTCCGTTGGATTGAGAGCAAAAGGAAGGGAGCTTGCTTGGGAATTCATCAAGAATAACTGGAAAACGTTCCAAAATATGTATGAGGTAATGTAGCTCTTTAGTTTCCGATATATTTTTCCCCTTAATTCAATCCGGCTGTACTAAATAAATGAGCCGTTAATAATTAGTCAGTCTCAGCTCCTCCTCTCGTTAACTTAAAGTTTCTAAATAATTGGAAAATTGTAGCAGGTTATAGATTCACGGAGCTCCAATGGAAAATTCCATGTTTCTTCATCAGACAGTATCGGTGCTAATCTAGTCACATAGATACAAGAAAAAGAAACAAAAACAAATGAAAGACCCGCGAGACGCGCTGTTTGGCTTGAGGAGTCTCGTAGTGCCAACGCCAGATCAAACTGGGGTTTTTTGTCTGTGTTCCCCCCAGAACCTGCTGTAATATGGTTGACTAAGCATGTCTTTTGATTGGGGATACCGCATGGGGACTTTTGTTTGTGCTTCAGGAACTGCATTCTGGCCTCCAACTGTGGATTCAGTCCTGTCAAGAAGTTAAGCACAGGCAAAGGCCTGGTATTTGAAGGATAAAAAATGCAATAGGTTTGGTTACTCAATGACTGAGTGGCCTTCCAACTCATCATAATAAAACAATGCCAATTACAGGTGCATTGTCGAAGTAAACTTTCAGTTTGTGTTGGGTGCTCAATGCTAATGGATATCGTGTGACTGTTGACTTACCCGTTGGGAAGCTTATTGTCGGTCTTCTCTGTTGACTAGCTAGATACTCTGACTATGCGTGCACAATTACATATAGAGGCTAGCTCAACGCCCTCAACTACGTCCTGAGACCGATGACTTGTTGACTTCCGTTTGGTAAACAATCCAGGACATCCGGCAATCCAAACGGAGTCGAACAATGCCAAGCGTTTGGAATCGGGTAATTCCATTGCCCAATAGTCCCAAATAGTTTACCTCGACAGTGCAGCTTACATTGCATATAAGTGCAATAGGTTTCCTCTTTCATTGAAAATGTAAAGTCAGGCTTTCGAGCGGACACTCTGTCTTGTCCTGGTTTCACCTGGTCAATTTTTGCATCATAGATGGAATTTAAAGTTTCAATAAAAAAATTCTAAGTACAGTAAAAACCGCATACAACAGAACGCATTGGGATCGGCCGAACGTTATGTTATAAGCGGGTAACAAGCGGTTTTCTTGGAATTTTTTCAATTCAGGACCAAAATTTTGGCTATTACAAGCGCATAAAACTTTTACATTGTTCTTACGGGCAAAAAAACGGAACTGCGTGAAGATAAGAATATAAGCGGTTTTCTGTTATAAACGTTTGTCGTTATATGAGGTTTCTACTGTAACAGGATGGTAGAATAGTGCTGGATCTGCACTATTTTGCAGGGCAGTCAATGCAAAATAATTCCCAAAATTAGAATTTCGAGTCACAAAATGTATCCTCACAAGTTTTAGTAGCTGACTGAAAGGGGAGAGCATTGAGCTTGGTCAGATGCTTTGGAATACTGAACCAGTGGCATGCTGGGCAGAAGGTGCAACCGGTAAAGATCCTTTGGCGTGACCATAGCATAATTTTTTGTGATACTAATTCTAACTCTTCAAACTTTTCTGGCCTTGATTTTTCGGAGTATGTAGTGTGGACTCAACACTTTTCTTCAATCCTGCCTTATAGATATCGACGGTGCAAGTCGGCAATCACATAACTTGTTTGCGGTGTCTGAAAATCTCCGCAACTATGTTATTTTTTTAAAGGAGAACAAATAGACATGATTCCTTGAAGTTTTTGCAGAATTTTCCTCGCACATAGAAGAAAAATCACGGCAGTTTTAAATAATTACTGTTGAGTAGTTTTCCGTTTAAAAAATAAAGTATGACAGGAAGTCTGCGACGTCGCAAACCGAGTTATGTGATTGCCGACTTTCACCGTCGATATGTGTGTTGAAAGTACATTTGAACAAGTTCTTTTCTGCAGCTATTTTAACTTGCGTTTTGTTCCTAATCATAAAATGGTGTGATCAAATCATTTTATTTTTCCAGAATGGCCCCCTTCTCATCAGGTTAGTCAACCGATCCACAGAAAATTTCGCCAGCGAAGAGAAGGCTCAAGATGTAGAAAGTTTCTTCAAGGAGAACCCGTGGCCTGGCTTTGAACGAACGATACAGCAAAGTGTTGAATCTATCAGGTTAAATGCAGCATGGCTGAAGCGTGATCGTGATTCTATTCAAGAATACCTTTCCAAGCTGTGAGTTTTTTTGAGTATTTTAGAGTTTTCTTCTTTTTTTTCCATTTTACTCCCATGCATAGGCCACATGACTGTGCAGGAAGAGGACTTGGAAAATCTGTATTTTGCTATACTATGTTTGACCACAAGGAAAGGAAGCGAAACCTTAGCTCCCTTTGTCTCAAAATTGAGTTCTTGATGCTGGAGCATTAAATAGTGTCTCCAAACATTATCGGACAAAAAACGCCCTAAAATTTCAAATCAAACCAGAGTTGAAGCCTTTCAAGATTCTAATGTTTTCTTTATTTTTTGGGGCAAAAGGTTTTTTTCTTTTTTTTTTAGTTTTTCCCTACTAATTATGAAAATTATCATAACAATTGGAGAAGGTCTGAAATTTTCTCTGCCCTTGCAAAAAAGTCTGGATAATTCTCCAACAAAAATTTCTTAATTTCTCATTCTTACGGCTGTAAAAAAACCATACTTTCCATAAGTAAAGTAACCATAAAAGTCTCAACTATTTAAGTATGTGAGTTTTGCAACATTCTCTGACGCACTGACTTTTGCCGAATGAGTGGTTAGAATATTTTCTGAAGTCGTCCTAAAGCAGATTAGGAATAGATTTTCAGCCTCTGTGCTAGCTTTTTTTTGCAGCCTTAAGTTTATTAGGAATGGAAATATTTAAATCAAAAAGAACCATCTCCATTGTGACATAAGCCTTGAGACCCATAAAAATACATGCATGACAGCCCATCCCCCAATGGAGATAGTTCCTTTTGATTTAAATACAACTAAATCATTATTACAGAGAGTAATATTTTACAATACTCTAGAAATTGTCAAATCACCTGTTTTTTTTGTGAACTGGAGTATTTTGAAGCTGTAGCAGATATTGGTAACTATTATTTTTGCTGTTCCATGACATACCCTTTCCAATTTTTATTTCCCCTTTTTCAGGTAAATGTCTTCAAAATGAAGTAATTTAACCAAAATACCATCTACCATGCAGCAAAAATAAGGACGATCGTGGAACCTTTTGTACAAATAATTATAATTACCATTACCAGAAGAGGTGCGGTGGTGTCAACTTTCCCCCTCCGGAAAAAATTGTTTTTGCTGTCATTAACAACTGCAAAAATTTCCTTTAAAGAGCGAATCTTTTCAGTGCCTACTAATTGACTTCAGTGTCTAAATTTTAAGCTTTAATCAGAATCATGAATTGATTTTGAAAAGAACAATGAGCCAATCAATGTCTTGGTTAGCTGTGAATTGAATAAACATTTTTATATTCAGTCAAGCAAGTGTAAATAATGATTACCAGATCATGCATGACGAGTCACACGACTCCAACTATTTTCACAAACTATTTTCTACAATTCACTAAATCTTCATTGTAATATTTTGGATCATTTTTTAATTTGTTACATGTAGAAATGTTGAGCTGGGGCTCTTTTTTTTTGGGGGGGGGGGAGAATCATGTTAGTTCATTGTTTGATTATTGCCATAGAGATCCTCTAGTTTCTGATTTTATTGATCAAGAGTACAAAGCATGGTTCCTCTTTAAATCAACTTCTCCCTCTGTGTCCAATGAAATTGCTTCTTACAAACGACTAGAAGTTACCAAAGTGAGCCCAAGTTTTCCGTTTATTTTGGATTTGTCAGTTTTTTTGTCTTTAGATGGTTGAGATTTCGCTTTAAATGTTAGAGATGAACATCTCCTAGGCAAAATCTCAACTGTATGGGATGTATCAGAGTCAGTGCCGTGTCATTATTTTTTTCAACTTTGGGAAAATATTCTGAGGAAAGCACGTAATTCAATAACAGTTTGCGGTTTAATTTGCTTTTTTGAAAATAAACTGTAAAGATACAGTCCCAAAGAGATTCATCAACTTTAATGACATTGTCATGAAGTGGAAACAAGATGACGCCTCACTCAGAATATTAAATTATCTTGGATATGTTGGCCTAAATGAAAAAATGTTTATTAAAAAAAGTATATTGAACTAATAGACATACCTTATCTCAAGAAATGCCTTCATTGTTCTGCTCTTAATTCAAGCGCTGAATACTTTTAAAAAAAAAAAAAGAAGAAAAAAACTTCAGTCAAAACTGGGATGTTATCCTTCTTGGTCTTTACATCAAGTATAAAAGTAGATCAATTAAGTTTATCTGCTACAAAACTTTCAACTCAGTTGGTCATGTAGTTACTTACAGTGGCGTGGCGTGCTTTGCGATTCATCGATTGATACGCCACTCAAACCTATGAAAAAAAATATCGATTATCAGGGTGTTCGCAGCGGACACCTTAGGAATTGATTCTTTACCATAGCTTCAAAAGGCAAGATATCGATAATCGATCATTCACGCCACGCCACTGGTTACTTAATTTTATATCTGTCTAATTTTATTTTAAAAATTCAATTGTAAAATGCAGCAGTTCATTTTTTGTGCCAAAGTATCCTAATTTGGCTTGTTCACTTGCACTCAGACAGAAATCATCATTTGTCTTGAGACTGGTCAATCTTCCACTAAACTCTAATTTTTAAGTATTATCAGGCCTAGGAAAGTCTCACGTGTTTTTTTTGATGTAACAGTCCCCTAGTGCCACAAAAAATAGGTACCTACGTTACTTTGTGTGACCAGTGAGAGAGAAGTGGAAAAAATAAGATAAAAAATATTGTAACAATCCGAATGTATTGCCATGGATCAAAGTGCAAAATGCATCAAAGGATCGCTCAATTGTGCAGAAAGTAGGTCCAATTCTCTAATGCTTAACATTTGGTATTGCTTAGACCAAATATGTAGGTATGTTATGCACTGTTGCATCTACTACTCATTGTTACGGCTAACAAATGTGTCCAAAATAGGAATATCAAAGCTCTAAAGCTTTCAAGCGCCTTTGAGATGGACATTCTTTCATTTCCTTTTTCTTTCTCCAAGACTTTTCAAGGAGCCTGTCATGACAATCTGCTTGTATTTTTTTATCTATCTGAAATTGGATAAATTACACTATTTTTAATTCTTCTTTGGTAGAATTCCATTCCTACCATTGAAAATGTGTTACCTGCATAGATTGTTTGTTGCAATGTTCAGTAAACATTGAATACAGAATGATTCCTGCATAAAGCATCCTTATCTCTTGATTTCCGAAAAACAAACAGTTTTAATTTTGATCTGAAATATGTGACCCAAATTTTCTTTTTTCATTATCCATCTAATGATGTGTTACAAGTTCGGGGTTCCCAGTAGAAAAGAAAAGTTGGGGTCTGCAACTCCCCATGTTTTAAATGAAGATGGAGGAGTTATGGCCTTGGAATTTCTTCATGACCTATTGATACTTATTGACGACTTCTGAACCCTGGCCGTTTTCGGATTCCCATAAAAATCTAATTCGACACAACAAATTTAAACAGACTATTCTATAGTTCTTTTGCTCTCCACCAGTGCAAAGATTTTATACGACTCCATAAAGCCAACCCCCACTCTCAAATATCCGATTTCCCTCATTGTCCGAATTTTTTTCTACTTTAGTAGGACCGGTAGTCAGGTTTAAACGCTAACATGGTTACATATTAAAATCGTGATATTCATAAATATAACAATTAGTTATGTAATGATTATTCAACCTCTACTTAAAATTCAATTCTCATTGCGTCAAGGTAGCAAATCAACAGGTCTAATGAAACTTCAGTGGCAACAAAAATTGTTTACTCGTCAGGACCAGAAATTTTCAGTTGTCACATCTGAGAAAACAATTCATCACTAATAATATGGTTCCACTTTTTGTGGACTGTCACTTAGTAATTTTTTTTTTTTTTTTCATGAGCGCCTCTAATTGATTTTTCACTTAATTTTGAGGGACAAGGAGTGAAAACAAATGGTACTGTTTTATCTAAAACTTTTATTTAATTTACAAAAATGTACACAATTACATCAAGGAAGTGTTCAACAACAAGGCGTAAACAAAAACAAGGGACTGAAATGCGAGGAAAACAGGAACAACAATTATATTTGTTTGGGTGTCGGAAAGAGTGTTCGAACGCTCAACACTGAGTGACAAAAAACAGAGAGGTTTGCATTATTAGTGGAAAGAGGATTTTTTTTGTTTTTTTGTGTGTCTCGTGAAGATAGAAAATTTGCGTACAAATACCACAATTTAATCAACTCGTGACAACCGCACAATGGTTTCGTGTATCTCAACATGAGATAATACATCCCATTGTGAGGGAGGAATGAGCGTAACAAGAGATGGCTGAAGCTGAAACTTGCATAGTAAAGTTTGTGCTTGCATGGACATGGGCATTCATTGATACTAGCGAGAAACTCAGATGAAGACGGCCAATCAGGCTCAGTTAGAGAAATTTGTCAAGTTTTCAAAATTTCCTTTTCTCTGGGAATTGAAATTCTTGAACTGATACTAACTTATCTCTGACCACTCTAAGGTTTCCAATACCAAAATTCCTCTTACGAAATATTTTAACCTAAATAAATTCATGAAAATTAAAAAAAAAAAAAAAAAAAAAAAAAAATTGTTCAAAATTCGAAGACTCTCAGCATGAATCCTGATTAGGATCATATGTGAAGGATCCACTGGTACAGTAAAACAGTGCCAGAGAGAGAATACTTGCTTTTTTCTGACTTTTAACAAAACTTGTGCTGTCCAAATTCGAATAGTCATTCAAGAAAATATATTGACCCCTAAATTGTGGCAAGAAAATTTATAATTGCAGTGTAAAATTTCAAGATTAACTACAAATAACTACAGCCTACTTCGTTTTATCACTTGATTTTTTTCTTGTTCGGTTGTTAAAATTTCCTGATCCTCTCTTTAGTCAGAATGGTAACTGAGTTGTTGATAGTGAATGTAGGTTGCAGATATATCCACCCTTATATCTCTACTTATCAATTCAAGATTATTGCCATGCCCATCTTTAGCTTCTTGGGCTCTGTATTTTTTTTCAACCATCTCTATTTTCAGCTGTCTCCTCCGACAGGGAGCAAAATTCTGAAATGAAGATGCCACCAACGAATTAGCTTATCAAACGCAGGGATTAAATCATACAAAAACGATAAAGGTTTGAAAAGGGTTTTGCCTCCCTTATCTTTTCCCTTCTTAACAAAATAATGAGCCTCGAGATCAGTGATGTTTTCCATAAACGATCAGCGGTCGTCAATTCTATGGTGATTGGTAAATACAAAAACTATGATTGATTATTATACAAACGAACTGATGATTAGATAGTAATGAAAACTTCAACGACTATTTACAAAACAATACAATAGGATACAATAGTAGTGTTCAACAATTTAAGTACGTTTCCAGTAGGCTTAAGTACAAAAATATGCCCTTCTCGTGTAAGTAGATGCCATTAGAGAGCGAGAAAGTAGAAAAAACGTTCCTAAAATCTTTGGCGAATCCTAAGCACTCTAGTGCCTACAACATTTTTGGAAAGGGCACTTAATTTAGATGTGAATCATTTTGCTTGTTGTACTTGATGATCGTACCAAGTGAGGCACTGACGCTTCTGATTTTTATTTAAAGGGTGTTTTTTTTCCTATATAAAGAAAATCAATTTGATCCATTTCAAATTAATCAAATACTGTATAAAGAGCAATTCTGAAGAAGAAGACGAGGTCCGCCTCCTGTCCACAAACAACACGTCCATTCGTGATCCCCAACTTTCATATTTAAGTATAGGTAAAAGGTTTGTAACAGCAGTGGCATCATTTAAACTGGAGGAGATAGGTAGGAGGTGGGCCGAAAATTTGAGAATCTTCTTGTGTTTTTTTTTCAACATCATGATGTATAATACCACGGTGAACTACGAATAGGTACATGTGCCTCAATTGCACTGCTTCAAAAGTTCCATGCCTCCTTACATTTTTACATGCCAAAAAAAATTAGAGACTATTTTCAAGAAGGAACCTGCACAAAGTTGTGTGCTTTAATGATGATTAATTACAGACTCCTTAGAAAATTAAATGTGGTGAGAAATCTACAACGTCGCAAACTGAGAGCAAGATGTTTAGTCTAGGTAGCCATCGCGTCCGGGCCGCACCGTCCGTTGCGGGCTCAGATGCCGAAAGTTCCGGATACTGGAGCTGTAGCTTCAGCTGTTCTGGGTGGCTGCACCCGGAACTTTCGGTCTCTACGCCCGGAACGCGGACAGAATGTCTTTGTAGCCCGTAAGTACGGCTTCCATGACCGGCGTTTTTTTTTTCTTTCAGCGAGGTGGGAGAGGGAAGGGCAACGGTTAACACTTGGATTGCATTTTGCAAAAAGGAACCACTAGCATTGCAATGTTGCTAAGATTGTGCAACTTATTTTGTCTTGGAGAAAAAACCCGATTATCCATTAATAGTTTCTATTTTACTCGCTAAAAACTGTAAATTTTAGACAAAAATTACCATCTAAATTTCATAGTTTTTCACGATTTCCGCAATTTTATTGCAAAAGATGAAGTTGCACAATCTTAGCATCATTGCAATGCTAATGGTTCCTTTTTGCAAAATGCAATCCACTTGAGAAATTCGCGTAAACTATCTTTTCTCGGAGGGGATTTTTTTTGTTTGTTTGTTTTTAACTACGGTTTCGAACAGAACTTCATGTGCACGTTCCGAACTAGTGATTTCCTTCCTCCCCTCCACTCCCCACCATCTCACTATGCCACCGTGCCACCTTTGACGTCCGTGCAGAGAACTAAATCTCACAAATTTGCGAGAAAACCAAACGAGTACTCCGATATTATATGCGTTGTGTGGTTTTTAGAGGGCTGGTCGCAAGTTGATCCGTCATCATGACCCAAGCAGCATTTTTTAACGATGAAATCGCGATTTTTTGTAATTAACTTACGATTTTTTGGCAGTAAAATCGGTAGGATCATCAGCATCTGAGCGATTATCCTCAATCTTGTCGCAATTTTATCTCAATTGGACGTATTTCTGTCAAACGGAACTGAGCGCCAAATTGAGTTCCTTTTGAAGATTTTAGAATCCCGGATAGCGCGTTCTGTCAAACGGACCTAAGCGCCACGGAAAAGCATTGCGAGTATAGGAGGAGCGAGCATCGCGTTCCGCAACACCCGCCAATCCAAGCCCCCCTCTCCTTTCCTCCCCCTATGGCGGTTAGGTCCGTTTGATAGAAATACGTCCAATTTATCCCGATTTTTTGTTCGTTAAAATCGCGATTTTATTGCAAATTGATGCGATGAAATCGCAATGTTTATCCTCTAATATTGCAATAAATCGACGTCGATAAAATGGTGACTTTATTGCAAATTGATGCGATGAAATCGCAATTTCTATTCCATAAGTAACATTGCAATAAATCGACATTGATAAAACTGCGGTACATTCTCTGATCAGATCGCACTTATCACGATCAGCGCTACTTGGGGAATGCAGATATTCCGAATCTAGTTTCTTGACTACACGCATCTTTGTTCTCTACAACGTCCGAGCTCTAGCAAGAGCTGGGCCGTTGCGCAAAATGTTCATCTCTTGCGCAAGAGGGTTGAGCGGCGACCGACAAGGACTCGATTTGCTCGAATATGAACGGTACGAAAAGCCGGAGTGAAAAAATTGAGTTAACCTTGGAGAAACGGAAGAAAGGACGACGTTTATTATCTTATGTGATGGCACGAGTTAAGTTGAACTCGTTCTAGGACCTCGGAGTAGATCCAACAGAGGAGCATCAACGCCACGATGTTCATTGAGCTGTTCGAGAGGCCCGCAGAGCCAGTCTGCATCGCTGCTGGCCGCTCGCCTGAAACGAAACAACAGAAAATCATAGCTTAGATAGTGCAATGCTACTCCTAAACTATGGAGATGTTGCATGCGTGAGGAATTTGCGATTTGACTATAGACTCTTATGTAAAAGTTCGCGAGAAACACGATGGTGCCACTGGTTTTCTCTGAAATCAACTCCCAAGCTCAAAAAAAGCTCTCAAGTCGAGGCCAAAATGGAGGGGATATCCCACGCTATCCTGAGAGTCCACGTCTACATCAAGGCAAACTCTCCATGCAAAGATAGGGAGCAAATACATTAACAGGGCTGCCAATTTATTTGGGGACTCTTAAACTGAAATCAAGGCAACCCTGCTAATGTATTTGCTCCCTATCTTTGCATGGAGAGTTTGTATTGATGTAGACGTGGACTCTCAGGATAGCGTGGGATATCCCCTCCATTTTGGTCTCAACTTGAGAGCTTTTTTTGAGCTTGGGAGTCGATTTCAGAGGAAACTAGTGGGACCATCGTGTTTCTCGCAAACTGTTACAAAAGAATCAACAGTCAAATCGCAAATTCCTCACACCTGCAACATCTCCATACCTTAATTAGCCTGTGTCACATGCACTATCACAATACTCCATCAAAATGTCAAGGTCAAGTGCGATGATTGGTCCGAGTCATCGAATAGGCCAATCACAACACCTGACCTTGATAATTTGATGGCTAGTTTTGATAGTGTGACACAGGCCATTAGTGAGCGCACCATCATTTGTAAGAATTCACACAAAAAAATCATAGTCGGGTCAATCTAGCATTATTCTGGTAAAATCACTATATATTTTAGAAAATTTCTCTGAAGAAACATGTTGCAATAGGCCACCAGAATAACATATCCAAAGTTTACCGAAATCGGTCGTCCGCTAACGCAGCCATCTTAAAAAAAAAGGGAGCTAGGAGCCAAAGTGCGCCGCCAACGACCGCTTTTTCGTTTTTATAAAAAGCTCAAAATTTCCTGTGAGAAACACTTCATTTTGATTAATTTGCGATCTCTGATTGATGAGATATCGCGGCAGTTCTCTGTGGTTGGGAGCATCGAATTTTGCTTGAAATCGCGAGTTTCTCACGAAATGTGCAATTATCTTAAAAAGGCAATTCTGAGGGAAAAAATTGTTCTTACTGAAATGGAAGAGCATAACATTCCCATTATAACAGTGCCAATTATAATAGCATTAGCTTCTGCTCTTTGTTTTCATTTGATTTTCGATAGATTCTTTTTTCGAATATCTTAGTCTGCACTCTGCATGGACCATTTCATCAATTTCACCCTGTGATATTCTTCAAACTTATTATCTCTCCTTTCTTTGTACAATTTCTTTCAAATCTAACGTTGTACCATCGTTTCTAATCTCACCAAACATAGTGCGGCCGCCGCGCCGGTCGGCGCAGAACGCTTATGACCGCCTACAAGAGTGCATGAATACTTCACGCATTGCGCCAAACACAAAGCGGTCGCCGGTCGCGGCGAAAGGCATATTAGCACCTAATGAAAGGCTATAGGAGTAGTTCCCGCCCGTACTTAAACAATTGGTAGTAACGACTGTAAAGTGGGCACAAAGGTTTTTCAGAATATCACTCTCATTCAAATATAAAAGGCGCGACGGTCGTCACTCACAAAGAGGTTCCATGGAGCAAATTTGCGTTTTAAATCCTCCCAGTATATTCTAAATTCTAGCAGTGGCTACTGTACGATCATGTTTTGATGTGAAATTTTCACTCGACGGAATGAAACGTGTTGTAGCGATTATGACTGCCCTAACCGGCCGCTTCGGCGAACAAAAATCCCTACGACGGTCGTGACATAAAAACTTCAAGACAGCATATGTTCGAAATATTTCGGGTGGGGAAACGCATTTAAAAAGAAAAAGAAATGCATAGTTCACTTAACTACATATTTTTAATAAAAGTAGTACAAAAATTTAAACTGAAGGGAGCTGGGGGTATTTGAAGTTTAAGAAAATGAAAATGAAAAAATGAGAAAATAACTAAGTAAACATGAAGGACATTTACTGATAAGGTGGCCTCGGGAAGCGGGGGGCTCAATTAGAGAATTTTCAGAAGTTTGAAGCCTCTAAAATGCAGTTTAAATCAATGTCGTCATGAATCATCGCTGAATTAATCTAAGCGTCCTTCGTTCTTCTTTCCTCCTTTCATTCCTTCTTTCTTTTTTCCCTTTTTCTTCCTCCTTTTTTTCCGAAAAACAAGGAATACGCCTCCTAACACCCCCCTCCCCGCCCCCCATGGATCTACGAATGTTATCGATACGAGGATTATAAGTCCATAAGTGAAACAACAGTTAACTCTCCTCTTCGCCCCGGTTAGCGTTTGCAGCATAAAGGAAATTTTTGGGTAAAAAAAAAATCGTATATCTCAGATGCATGTCGGAGGGATAATCCTGGCGGCATATTTTTACGCTTAATGCTCAATGCACTCGTATTCATGTCAATGATGGCATCGCGTATGACTGTAACGGATGAACTGAGAGACAGCCGAGTCGTCAGCAATATCTGAGCGCTGTTGAAACTTGTGCTCTCCATGGAGAATAACAATTTCAACTGTTGTGTTGAGGAAGAACGCCGTGTGAACATTCGAGAGTTGCCAAATTTCCTTTGATAAAACGTTTATTTTTCAGGAAAAATATTCCTCGAAATTTTAAGAAACTAGATCAATATACGAACAAAATTCTTTGAAAAATCATACGATTTCATGGAGTTTTTTTATAGGGAGCATGAAGAGATCTGGGGTCTTGATGCCACATACAGTCAAGAAGATCATCCAGTCTGTAATTTTTTTCGTAATACTTGACCTACTCATTTCCAAATTATTTTACTCTCGAAATTCTCGAATCCTGTTTGTTCTTTGACGTTTTATCAGTTCCCTGATCTTTGCGAGCGTTTTTGACACCATGAAGTCAAAATACCTACAATAGCCAGCCAATCAGAAATTGTCATTTCCCTCACGAAATAATGTGACCAAATTTCTTGTTACCCAATTGTTTCCCCTTACAAGGCAAATCTTGTGCATTCTTAGCCAAAAATTTCATGATTCCTCCTCTGATCTCGTGGAAAAATCAGAAACATTTTGAACAAAAAGTGCAGAGGTTTGTTCTTGGAAAAAATTCAATTGTTTGAGCCAGTTTTACAACCTTGGAATAGAGTTACGGTTCTTCGTCCGGGAAACGATGACATTTATCCTGTATGCCTTAACTTATTTCATTTTATTCTTCAAATTTGTTTCGATTCAGAAAAAATAAAATTGTTGTCACATTTTTAACTGCATCCGTCATAATTTTTCCTTCCTCTAATACTGCTGATCCCTTTAAAGGGGCTGAAGAATAAATATACACACGGGGTTGTAAAAATGAAGGGACTCCACAGAGAGAGAAATTTCAACACAAAAGTTTGGTTAATACGGGAAGTAAAACACAAAATAACCCCAGCCTTCGGTCGACAATTTCAAGAGAAAATGTCGGCCAGTTTCCTTGAAGAAATTTGATAAAAGAACGTCGCAATCGGAGGAATGATTTTTTCCAGTCTCTCCATTGTTGTCTGCCTTAAATCCACCGCAAACTGTACCAAAATCAACACAAAATTTGAGTTGGTCTTGGTTTCACTTCTTATATTAACCGAAAGTAACACAAGAACACAAATATTTTATCAGTGTAGGGGCATTGAACCCTGGTAAAAATTGGCAGTAGAATCTGTGTTCCAAAATACCATAGACCTATAGCCGGCTGTAAGATTTCCAATAGCTTCTGTATAGCCGGCTTTACAATTTCTTATAGCTTTTTACAGCCGATGGCGATTCAGCAACAGCCAGACGATAAAGTTTATGCTAAACGTTACTAAATACGGATACTAGGACTTAGTTAGTTTTTGGAATACTGCTCTCTTTTTGTGCCGCAGTATCTTGATTTATTCTGCGAGGAAAGCTCCGTACTTTTGAAGGATGCCTGTCATTCTTAATATGTTGGAGCGCCTTCAATTTCTTATGACACTGTGCAATACCTCTGGTGTGAAATAGTTGCTTCAGACGCCGTGGCACGCTGCGGCGCGGCGGGCGGGCAGAGAGCTCGAAACGCGCATTGGCGCCTACAAACCTAACAGGGATACTTCACGCGTTGCGCAATGAGTGAAGTATCCCTGTTAGGTTTGTAGGCGCCAGTGCGTCGCCGCTCCGCTTTGTGTTAGGCTCTAATATTTAATCTCGCGGAGTCAGCGTTTTTCAACTCATGATTTTGAAATGTTTGCACACTCTGTATAGACTATTCTCATTTTAATCGATGAAAAAAAAAAAAAATGTTTTAAAGGAAAACATTATGTGTGTTTTGTAAATATTAAGGTAGTTCCGCATCAAACTTAATGATTTCCAAAGCACACGAATTTCTACACAATTTCTTATAGCCTTTTATGGCCAATGACGATAAAGGGTAAAGCCCGGCGGTAGGAACTATAGCCCGACTGTATACTTTTTTATAGCTTCGTATAGCCTGGCTGTATGATTCGCGCCGCTTTCTACAGCCAGCTGTATGATTTTCAATAGCCTCTCTTTAGTCGGCTATAAGAACTCCTATGATATTTTGAATCGCAGCTCCTATCGCCAATTTTCACCAGGGAATGTAAGCTCGCTACAATGGAAGGAGCCTTGACGGGAAATTCGGCAACTTCTCATACTTTTGAATTTTTTTTCGCGAGAGGAGCTAAATTCATTGCAAACTGTATCGTTATCAACACAAAATTTGTGTTGCTTTGTGTTTCGCTTCTTATATTAACACCGAGTAACATAAGAATCCGGGTTGCCACAGAATTCGGAAAATGAAATTCCCTGATTTCCCTGCTCCATTTTGGAGAAGTTCCCTGACAATTTCAGAAATGGCAAATGGTTAAGAAGACACATTTGAAAACAGTTTTCAGGCAAAATTTGAAGTTCGAAACCTCCAACCTATTTTAGAAAGAAAATAAAGGAGATTTGACAAATTTTCCCTGACATTTTCGTCACTTTCCCTGACATTTCCCGGTATCCCCTAACTGTGCACTGGAAAAAAAAAACACATTGGATTTAGAGCCCAGACTCTTGAAAACATTGACAAGAAAAAATACTCTCGATTCAATCGGATTTTTGCTTGAATCAGAACGAAATCCGCTTAAATTAAGAGGCTTGGTTCTTGATCTAAGCTAGATTCTGATTGAATCAAGAGTACTTTTTCTTGTCGATGTTTTTAAGAGTCTGGACTCTAGATCCGATGTGTTTTTTTCCCCAGTGTGGCAACCCTGAAGAACACAAATATGCTATCAGTGGAGGGGCTGGGGCATCGAATGTAAGCTCGCTGAAATGGAAAAGCTCGCCTTGACGGGAAATTCGGCAACTTTTCATATTTTTGAAGCTTTTTTCGCGCGAGGAGCTAAATTCACTGCAAACTGTACATTATCAACACGAAAATGTGTTGATTTGTGTTTCACTTCTTATATTAACACCGAGTGGAACAAGAACACAAACATGCTATCAGTGCAGGGGCATTGAATTTAAGCTCGCTGGAATGGAAAAGCTCGCCTCGACGGGGAATTCGGCAACTTTTCGTATTTTTGAAGCTTTTTTCGCGCAAGGAGCTAAATCCACTGCAAACTGTACTATTATCAACACAAAATTTGTGTTGATTTGTGTTTCACTTCTTATATTAACACCTAGTAGAACAAGAACACAAACATGCTATCAGTGCAGGGGCATTGAATTTAAGCTCGCTGAAATGGAAAAGCTCGCCTCGACGGGAAATTCGGCAACTTTTCATATTTTTGAAGCTTTTTTCGCGCGAGGAGCTAAATTCACTGCAAACTGTACTATTATCAACACAAAATTTGTGTTGATTTGTGTTTCACTTCTTATATTAACACCTAGTAGAACAAGAACACAAACATGCTATCAGTGCAGGGGCATTGAATGTAAGCTCGCTGGAATGGAAAAGCTCGCCTCGACGGGAAATTCTGCAACTTTTCGTATTTTTGAAGCTTTTTTTGCGCAAGGAGCTAAATTCACAAACTATAGCAACTGTACGGAGCAAACTGTACTATTATCAACACAAAAATGTGTTGATTTGTGTTTCACTTCTTATATTAACACCGAGTGGAACAAGAACACAAACATGCTATCAGTGCAGGGGCATTGAATTTAAGCTCGCTGGAATGGAAAAGCTCGCCTCGAGGGGAAATTCGGCAACTTTTCATATTTTTGAAGCTTTTTTCGCGCGAGGAGCAGCGGTGCGCGGCTCCGTTCGATTAGCATCGGGGCCGTATTGAAATGAATCCGCGCCGGGAGGTTTTATGTGATTGTTTCAATTCCACGCTGATTGCGGTGAATAAAGAAACGCTCCCACTCCGCATTTCCGACCAGAAAACAAATATTTGCCTCCGTCCTCCGACGTCTCTTGAAGGATAAGCCGTCGCATTGTCATCCGTGTGTCACGGCAAATTGAATGCCAAACTTGTATTCCTTCCGCCCGAGGCAGTATTGGACGTATTTCCGTCAAACGGAACGATGCGCACCAAGACATGAGCCTTGAGACCCATAAGAATACATGCATACCACGGCTCACGTCATAATGCACATGGTTCCGTTCGACAGAAATACGTCCAATTCGGGACCCGTCCCGCTGCACAGTGGAACGAACTAACAAAAGAGGTTGGACATGAAATTGTTGACTAAAATTTCAATTTTTTTTTGTTTATATCGTCACAAATTCAATTTCAAAGGGTGTTACCGTAAGGGAATTTTACGATAAACCCAATAGAGCGACTTCTGAACTTTTTTGTCTAGTATTTTTGGAAATATAAGATTTTTGAAATTCCACGTTTTGTCCGACTTCTTCTACCGACGCGGTCTAGTGTGCGCCGCGCCGTCCGTCCTCAACCCCGTTGCAAAGGACGTTGTTTTCTCCTTTGAACTAGTTCCCTGCATTTTACTCAAGTGCAAATCCAATCATTTCCGCGAGGACGGAATACCATGTTTCACGCGAGCTGACGCCACAAGGATTCTGTTCGACGCCAATTCTGAATTCATAATCCGCCAAAGAACTTCGGGACACGAAAATTCAGAATGTCACCGTTGACTGTGACCGTCTGAAAGACGGATCCTAGCTTCAAGAACGTGAACCCATGATGAGTACACCGTCGCTCGCTAGGAAGTATTTTACGAACATTTTGGCATAGAAATGGCCCTCGCATACCAAACTGAATGTATCAGTACCCAAGAGTCGAAAGGTACCTGATATATTTTTAGTCATTCCGAGATATCAAGGAAAAACTGCTTCGGTCCCATCGATTCCAATGAAAGTCGCAATTTTTCAAAATTTCGTGTCCCTTAACCGGCGTAAGATAGGGCTACCAAATTTTCCACGCACACTCGGAACCGATATTGGAGGTTTCCTAAACGACACTAACTCGATTCTTTAAAAAATGTGAGTGAGGTATATGTAGAATCTTGTATGGGAAAGCAGGTGTTACCTGCTTCACTTACCGTTCATACGGTATGGGCGCTGGGTCTTACGGTACGGGTACGGGTGTTGGGTCCTTACGGTATGGACACTGGGTCAATACTCTTCGTAGTATTTGCCCACATTAAAACAGACTCTATCTCTATTCTTAGGCCGGCATAAAATTTCTTGTCAGTCTGTATGTGGTTCTGACCCATACTTTATGGAACCTGACCGTATAAATCGTTTTCATACCTTTTAGAAAGAAATAATGAAATTTGGTTGGAATTGGCCCGCTTTTATTTTTAAAGTATCGCACATTTGAATCGGTGAGTTCGAAAACACACCAACTCGGTAACTCGGAATTGCTCAATTTTCATAAGAGACGGTCAATTTTTATGAAAGTCATTGAAGTTAGTGCATCTGTTCCAACTTATACCTTTAAAATGCCCTTAAGTGCTTGTATTTCGGCACCAAAAATCTCTTTCTTAGACTAATTTCTTCATTTACTGTTCGGTTTCATGTGTGCCTTGATTCTTTTCATTTTTCCGAGTTGGTGTGTTTTCGTTCTCACTGATTCATTTGAGCTATACACCTGTCGCCGTGAGATGACCCATGAAGGGACGAGAGCTTACCGTTGAGTACGTGGACCTTGACGCTAGCGCCGTCAGCATTGGATGGACAGCAGGAGTAATTACCCGTGTCCGAGAGGTCAGCGTTCTGGATGAGAAGATAACTCGTTGTGACTTCGCCCTTCTCCGTAATTACACTAATACCCCCTCGCACCGAATTGTAACTGATGACCTGCAACAAATGAAAGTATCCCATGCGTCAACAAACTATAACATGATGATAAAGGCTTAAAACCACACACTGAAAAAAAGATCACTCGAAAAAAACACATTGGATCTTGAGTCCAGACTTTTAAAAACATCGACAAGAAAAAACAAGCAGTGAACTCCAACACAATGTGTTGATAAGGCGCGTCATTAACTCGCACATATCAACCCCTTTAGTTTTCATTTACAGAGATTTCAAAATAGGCAAACAGCATAAAAAGAGAATTCACGATCCAACACTGCGAGGTCAAAGACGCACCTTGACGAGACCGTGTATTGTGAAAGTAGAAAGCTATTCGATCGAATTTAAGTTTTTTGATCTGCCTCAAGCAAAATCTTATCAGATTCTTGAAGAAAAGTGCTACGGAATAATTTAAGCGAAGAAAGGAAAAATTCTGTCGAACTCCTAGAAGATAAAGTCGATTTAAAGGTATTTTGGGGCTAAAATACCCAAATCACCGGTAGTAAAAATCCCGTTATATTATTGAAAAGAAATTGACTCGATATAAATGCAATTGCATTAAATACGTCTTGATTTTGTTATTTTAAACGTCTTTCCATGCAAAGAAGTTCAACCATGTCGTTGCTTTATTCATTCATGAATTGAAAGTAAGCAATCTACATCCCGAAAATCTACTGATTTGCCGTAAAAAATTGCAGAAACTTGATATACCAGGTCGATGCACCCACTCGTTGAATTTACCAACCAATTTTGTGAGTGCAAATGTGTAAGAATCAATATGCTATAGTCATTTTGGGTGCATTTATTTTTCATGAAACAATAATAATTTCAATCCCGAAAAACCATCAATTTTCCGTATAAAATCGAAAAAATCAAAATATGTCAACTCCCCGACGTGAAAATTAGATTCTACGTATGTAAAATGTAAATACTTATGTATCGATATGCTGAACAGAACTATGTGTGGACAGTCAGAAGCCCGCGGCAACATTAATTCAACAGAAAAACTGTAAAAATTAGATAGGATTTTAGCCGCTTTGCCCGCCTCTCCTCGCTACTTACAACAAACCGTTCTTATACTCATCTCAAAATTTTTCTCAGAGCTTTGGGTTATTATCAGCTTCCATTTAAACTCCGGTTCGATGGCCGAATCGGCTGCCAAAAAAGCAAGCCACTGTTGAGGGGTTCTATGAGAAATTCGTGATATTATCGGCTCTCAGGAAATCACCCCATGGCTAAAATTGGTGGTATAAATGTTTAAGTGCTTAAAATAATCGTATTCAAGAAACTAAGGAATTAAACTATGGAGTCAATTTCTTTTTAATAATATAACGAATTTACTACCGGTGATTTAGCTATTATAGCCCCAGAATACTTTTAAAGCGCCTTTGCGTTCCAGAATCTCGACGGAATTTTTTTTTTTTTTTTTTTTGCTTAAACGATTCAAGAAACATTGTAGTTAAAAATATAAAGATTTTTCGATTTGGACGTATGAAAAATGTTTAACTCGTTCAGGCACACCGTGTATTGTATGGAGTACTGCTGTTATTCGACCGTTGTCTTCAGGTCAAAATTCTTACAAAGAAGCCCCTTGCAAGAGGCAAATTTTTTGTAATTTCTCCCAGTTTTTTCAGCGTTAGGTATATAAATGAATTGTTTGTCAAATTTTGAGGTCAATTATATTTAATTGTAATTTATACTTTCTTTTTTTCCCCTTCATTTTATTTTTCGTATCGAGGAGTCGAGGTTTTGTTGATTTCTTCGGATTTCGATTACTGTAACTTCTCTTCTATTCGGCCGATTTTTATGAATGAGGTCTCTTTTTATTTGTGTTTTAACGGAGAGTAAGGAAAAAATTGCTAAATACATGCGAAACAATTTTTTTTGAAAATTGGATGAATCCTAGCGTGACGGTGAAATGGTTAATGAAGCGTGAGTAATTGGGGTACGGGTATCGGCCGCGTTGGGACCCAAGGCCCATTGTTCTTCGTGACGCCGACGCAGTGATCAGGAGCGTGGGGACGAGAGGGCTTAGTGGACTCCTGTATGAGCCACGTTTAGCAAATGGTCTAATGAGTCTCGAGGCTCATCACAGATTGCACTTACCACTATCCTGGTGGCCCCGGCTATCAGAGCAAGGAGTACCAACTTTTGAAAAGGATAACAGTGTTGTGGAGATATGTCAAAGCAACGTTGTGAACAAAACGGAGTGAGTGAAATTCTCATTCAAGGAGTGCCGAACTGGTCAGCCATCCTCGAATCAGTTCGCTTGCTTCCGCTTATATATGCATATTTTAAATCAGCGCGCCCCATTCTAAGGTTTTTTTAAAAAAAACCAAGAAACGTAGACTCTTGGTATTCATTACACATAAACTAGCGAGCCCCAGAATGAGAAACAAATTTTAATCATTATTATTGACGGATTAGTAAACTTTTTACACGCTTTGGAAAATCTCAGAAGTTCGCGGTAGTCACTTTTCGGTAAGGAACTAGGGGACTCGGTTATTGTATCGAGGGGGGGGTCGAAACGATCGCAAAGGCGGTATACTACGTATACGCGCCAATACTCTTGATGCAATCGGACTTTTGCTTTAATCAGGAACCGAGCCTCTTAATTTGAGCGGATTTCCTTTTGATTTAAGCAAAAATCTGATTGAATCAAGAGTATTTTTTCTTGTCAATGTTTTCAAGAGTCTGGACTCTAGATCCAATGTGTTTTTCTTCCAGTGATTGGTAGAACTTACCATTTCTTCACGCCGTATTTCACACAGCGTTAATTCAGAGTCAATTCTGCCAGAAGGAAGGTAAACGTTACTATTGGCACAGGTCCAACCATTCCTCCGACAGAATCGACTTGAAAATTGGTAGAATTTAGCATTCTTTCACGCTGTGTGAAATACAGCGTGAAGGAGTGGTAACAGTTCAGATGTAAGTGAAAACGTGTCCCTTTCCACGGTTTAATGCCTCATTTGTAGGCCTTGGAGGACACGGCGCATACGTGCAGTTTTTTAAAAAATTGCGTTAATAACGATTTCTGGTAAGACTAGTCATAATGGATATCTGTGAAAAATTCCATCCCAAATTTCAATTTTTAAGCATCATAATGTTAGTTTGAACTTCCTCTCCGCCATAAGGATCCAGGTTTCAAACATGTATTTCTCGAAATAGCAGAAACTGCACTAATGCGTCTTATCCTCCCCAAACTCCTCATTTATGGTACCTTTTGGCAAAAAAGTTCAGTCTTTAGCTTCTGAGATTCCATCTCCCATCGTAGAATTCGATTAATCCCTTCCACTAGTAGGATTCTTACTTCATCAAATAGAAAAATCTCTTTTACGTAAATCAGTCCAAGTGATCCTCGACGAAATTTTCCAAACCCTGGTTTCTACTGCCACCGGATGTCAATGCTTCATGTCGGCTGACTAGTGTTCATTTCTTTCATCATTATTCAGACCAAGTTGGACGAAACTGTCGTAATATAACTAACACGACAGAATGCGTCATTCGTTGCCTTTGCAAGTCATGGAATCCCTAGGTCTTGTCTATCGGTACGGCTTCATGCACGCTGGGCTTGTCAATTTCCTTTGACATTTATGCAGTGGTGAATGCATAGCTGAAGTGCGCTACAGCTAGAATTGTATATAGCAAATGGGTAATTTTTATAGGAGGATTATAAATAAAGAAGTGGTTAGAAATGAATTCAAAATACTATGAACTATACAAAACGATTATTCAGAAATCGGAACTTGGCTGTTTTGAAAACGCCTTCAAATGCGGCGTGATACCTCACGCATTCCGGAGAGTTCAAATAGTTGTATCATTGCGCCGTAAGAATGTGACGGAAGATTTAAATGGAAATAGCCTCCATGCACGCTGGGCGTGTCGATTTCCTTTGACATTTTTGCAGTGGTGAATGCATAGCTGAAGTGCGCTCCAGCTAGAATTGTATTTAGCATATGGGTGATTTTTCTACGAGGATTAAAAATAAACGAGTGGTACGGAATATAACAAAAGAATACGAACTATGCAAAACGATGATCCGGATATCGGAACTTGGCTGTTTTGAAAACGCCTTCAAATGCGGCGTGATACCTCACGCATTCCGGAGAGTTCAAATAGTTGTATCATTGCGCCTTAGAAATGCGACGGAATATTGCAATTGAAATAGCCTTCATGCATGCTGGCCTTTTCGATTTCCGTTAACATTTTTGCAGTCATGAATGCGCTTAAGTGCGCCTCAGCTAGAATTGTATTTAGCAAATGGGTGGTTTTTATAGGAGGATTATAAATAAACAATTGGTTAGAAATGGAAATAAAATAATATGAACTATGCAAAACGATTATTCCGATAACGGAACTTGGCTGATTTAAAAACGCTTTCAAATGCGACGTGATACCTCACGCATTCCGGAGAGTTCAAATAGTTGTATCATTGCGCCGTAAGAATGTGACGGAAGATTTAAGTGGAAAAAGCCTTCATGCAGGCTCGCCACATCCTATCTCGAGCCCTGGTACCAGTTTTAAGGTCCGGGCCCCAAGCACGGAGGGGGGGGGGTCCGAGGGGCATCTCCCAAGAAATTTTAGAATTTATACGACTAATCGGACGCATTTTGAAGCTTCCATAAAGAATTTTATCCATCAATTTCTGCGGGATAATTATGGTTTTTTTTCTACTTCCAGCACAAAATACTAGCGAATTGTTGCATTATTCAAAACATCTGGAACATTTTTATTTATTTTTTTTTGGGGGGGCATATGATACTATTTTCAGTTCTAAAAGAGGGCCAGGCCCCCTTGGACTCCCTCTTCGTTTGACTATGGCAAGGGAGTTGAGCCATGAGCCATTAAAGTCGAGGATGCCCAGACTGGAGACTCTTAGCATCTGACGACGGAAGAAAATGAAACGCAGTCACTAAAAATATCCCTCTGTACTGAAAACATTGAAAATAGATAGAAATTTTCCAAGAAGTATACTTCTTTGAAAATTTAAGAAGAATTCCACA